AAGTCCCTTGGCATTTAAAGGTCTTCCTACCTTCTCAGTCTTTTAATATCTTATTCCCCTCCACATTGCCTGTGATCTAGCCACCCTGGTCCCTTGCAGCTTTTCAAACACTATGCTCCATCTCCCCTACTCCTTGCCTTTTCAAGGCTGTCCTTCCTGCCTGAAATGCTCTGCCCCCTCATTTCTCGAGTTCCCTGGTTTCTTTCAAGACTTCAATCAAGTCCTACCTTTTCCTGGAGGCCTTTCCTCATATCTGCAACTTCTCCCTCCCCCCCAAAAATCAGTTTATGCTTTCATTCCTTTTACTTTAATTTACTCTTTATGTATTTTGTTGAGGTGTATGGGGTGTTTAAGGAGGACTAGCACCTCTGGTGTGAGGGCTGCCGAGCCCTTTTCAGGGCTGCTCATCTACCTTTGGTGTCCACCTGGCATCCAACTCTCACCCTGTGGCTCCAAAAAGCTGTAGCATGTGTGCTGGCCACATCCTGGTAACCTTCTTGGCAGAGAGCTTAACCTGGTTGAGGGTAATTAACAGGCTTCAAACCTGACAGTGAGACCCCGGGGGGTGGGGGTGGGGTGTTTCTACCCCAAGCATTCGAAGACTTCCCCTGGCAGAATGGGCAGATGAGAACATTTGTTCCAGTGGCCATGAAGGTGCCTGAAGTAGGCGCTGTGGAGAGCTTAGAGCTGGGTCAGACATGGAAGACACCAAGGTCATCCCTGTCCATCTCCAGTCATCCTGACTTTTGTCTTGCCCACTGGACTTGGATGACTTTTTTTTTAAGGCAATTGGGATTAAGTGACTTGCCCAGGGTCACACAGCTAGTAAGTGTCAAGTGTTTGGTCTGAGGCCAGATTTGAACTCAGGTCCTCCTGACTTCAGGGTCGGTGCTCTATCCACTGCGCCACCTAGCTGCCCCTCACTTGGATGACTCTGGAAGAGGGAGTGAGACTGATGACTTGCTTCACTCAAAATCGATTCACTCTCAAGTCGATATCATTGGTCATCTTTTAAATGAAGGACGAACAACACGTATTTGTATGCTCCTAGTTTTTTACATGTTTCTTCCATTAAAATGTGTATTCCTTGAGGACAGAGACTATTTTTGGTGTATGTGGGGGCTTTTCTTTGTATCCACAGGGGTTAACACAGTGCCTGGCACATACTAAGTGCTTAATAATTGCTTATTGACTATTGATTGACTGTGAAGGGAGAGGAGACATACAAGAGTTGTTATAAAGGTACAAACATTTGGAAACAGATTGGCCATAGAAGGTGATGGAGAGTGACAAATTGATCAACAATTGAAGATGATGCTGAAGTTTACAGCCTGGGGGACTAAGAAGCTAGTGGTGCCCTTGGGAGTAACCATAAAGTTCAGAAGAGGAGAGGGATTTGGGGTAGGGGAGAGAAGATACTGAATTCTGTTTGGGACATGTTGAGTTTGAGATGCTTAGGGATGTCTCTATCTAGATCTCCTATCACCATCTCAAACTCAACATGTCCAAGACAGAACTTGGTATCTTTCCCCCTAAACCTGGCCCTCCCCCAATTTTCCCTGTTTTTATAGAGGGTACAACCATCTTTCTAGTCATTCAGTTGCCCAACCCAAGTCGTCCATGACTTCCCACTTCTCTCTCCTTCCCCACTGAATCAGCTGCTGAATCCTGTCTTTTCTGTCTCTACAGCTTCTCTCCCATCTGTCCCCCTTTCCCCTCCCAAGGCTATCACCTTAGCTTGGGCTTTTAGCACCTCTTGCCTGGATTAGTGCCATAACGATCGTCTCCCTTACCAAATTCTCTCCCCTCTCCACTACATCCTCCACACAGCTGTTGAAATAGTATTCCTAAAGCGCTGGGTCTGACTGGGTAGTTCTGCTTAATGCCCTTCTGGGCGTCTCTTGCCTCTCTGGTAACGGCAATTAGGCACATGCCCTATCTTAGAGTCGCCTGAGGCACTGAGAATGGTTAAATGCCTTCATCAGGGTCATACAGCCAGGGTAAGTCAGAAGTGGGGCTGGAATCTTCCTGTCTCTGAGGTAGGCTCTCTTTTCCAGAATCCTCAACTTCATTCGAAGCTCAGTTCAGGTCACCATCCATCTGCTATGGGAAGCTCGTATTCCTCGGGTTAGCTCATATTTGTTTATGTTTCCTATATGCTCTGTCCCCAGCGGAATATAGTAAGCTCCTTGAGAGCAAGGTCTGTGTGTGGGGAAAGGGTTCTTTCTCCTATCTACAACACCCAGAACAATGACTGGCACATAGTAGGCACGTAAATGTTAGTTGAATTGAATCTGTGGTATGGTTGTTTCCTTAGCTGGTCTTTTCCCCCGGCTCTGAATTCTTCAGAATGACAATGGATATACATTTATTAAACGCCTGTTATGTGGCAGGCATTGTGCTAAACGCTGATAAGAAGGTGAAAGTCTCCCCCCCCCTCCCCGCCCCAGCTTCTATTACACCGCGGTGAGAGGGGCTAAGGACTCTTCCAGACCCCTAAGGGGGTCAGCCTCCTACGTGGTCTGTTACGAAACAGGAGTGCTCTTGAGCCATATACATAGATAGGATTTAAAGCTGGAAGGGGCCTTCGAGACCTGCTAGTTTAAACCCCAAGTTTTACAGCTGAAGAAACGGAAGCACAGAGGGAAATGACTAGCCCAAGGTTACACAAATGATAAGTAGCTGAGTTAAGAGTTCGAACTCTGGGTCCGACTGCAAATTCACCGCTCTTCACGTTACACGGCTTTGCCCCCAAGATATGGAACACTTGCCAGGGACACCACTCCTTCCCCAGCTGGAGCCCCGGGACCTAAGGGTCCCCTTCCCCTTGGCCTTTTCTAGCCCTTCTCCAGTGGCCTGGTGGGCAGCACGGAGATACCCCCCCCCGGGGGCGCTCAGGGCAAAGCTAGATGAGAGGGCGGGGACTGCACGGGGTGTTGTGCGGGGGACCTTCCCCACATCCCCGCGCGACTGGAGCTCAGGACAGGGCTGGGCGCATTGCTGCGCCTCTGGGGTTCCTAACAACCGGGCACGGTTTGCCGCCCAGTCTGGGAAGGGGTGCCGAATCCCCCGGCGGGGGAAGGGCAAACAGGATTCCCCAGATCCCGGGAGGGGCTTGGGGTCCCGGGGTCTCGGGGACAGGGCACGGGATTTCCCAGGATCCCGGGAGGGACTTGCAGGGTCTCCATCCTCGAGAGGGGGCGCTGGATCCCGCGTCTTAGGCACTGCTTCCCCGGGAAGTTTCAAGTTTGAAAGGGCAGTTGGAGGGGCCGGGGCTTCCGGAGGAGCCGGAGCTGCGGGGCCCGAGTAGCAGCATGGGGGACCCGCGGCAGGTGAGCGCAGCAGGGACGCTGCAAGGGAGCGGCGGGCACACCGGGGCGGGGGGGTTGTGGGTGGAGGGACGGGGCTGGAGGGGGAAGCCAGGTAGCTGCAAGAGAGGGGCGGGGACACAGGGCGGGGGGGGGGAGGCAAGGGAACGGCGGGGGAGGGGCGGGCACATTTAGGGGAGGGGGCGCCCAGGCAGAGGGAGAAGAAGTGGGCACACTCTGGGGGGCCAGAGGTACGGCAGAGGAGGGGGCGGCCAAGCAGACGCGAAGGGCGGCTGAGGCTCTGCAAAGGGGAGGGAGGAGGCCGGGGGTACTGTGGGGGAGATGGGTGACCAGGCAGACAAGGTGGGGGATGTGCCTGGGGTGATTCAGGGATAGGGGGAGCGTCTGGGCAGGTCCGGCCCGCGGGTGGGGCATGAGTTCACCTGCCGCCAGCTCCAGCTACTGTGGGCTTCCCCTACCCGAGCAGCTCCGGGGCCAGGCCTCCCAGTCACACACCCCAACCTTCTCTCCAAACTCCCATCTCTTAACTCCGGAATTTTTAATCCAGGGTCCACGGACAAGAGGTCTTTGCATACATTTCAGGGGATCTGTGGACCCGAATACAAAGTTTAAGATCCTTTGCCTTAACTCCTCACATTCTCCCCAGGGAGACAGCCAGGAGAGACCCTGGCCCTTTCCAACTATGGAGGCTCAAGAGAGGATGAGGAACTTCCTCACCGGAGGTTGGCCTAAGACTCCTAATCCCCTGGCCAGCCACACCACTCACTTCCACATCCCTCATTAGGGCCAGTGGAATGTAATGGAAACACTCAAGATTGGGAGCCTGGAGACCCAGAACTCCTAGAATTCCAGCTCTAAGTTGGAAGGGTCCTTGGAGGTCACTAGATGATAGATTCGGAGCCCGATGGGACCTCAGAGGTCTAGTTCCGCTCTCTCACTTTATAGAGGAAAAACCTGAGCCTTGCCCACACTTAAATCACACAGATAATGTTAACCAAAAGTCAGGACCATAAGGAGCAGATCCTGGGATTCCTGCTAACCTTCTTTGATGTTAAATTCAGTTCTCTTTCTACTCACCACATTACACTGCCTCACTACTGAACCATTCTGCCTGTGCCTGTAACTGGCTTTGTGACCTATTTAACTTACCTTCTCTGGGCCTCAGTCTCCCCATTTGTAAAATAGTGGAATTTACTCCGTAATACTAATGGATCTATAAGGTCTCTCTCCCTCCAGGTCCAACAAACTATGAGATATGTCCAGCTTTAGGGAAACATACAGAATATGGTGGGAATGGAGTACATGAAGAGCCCTAGGTTATATAAAAGAGGGTGCTGAGTTGGGAGGGGTTCATAGCCCCTTCTAGTGTGGGAAATAAACTTGCCTAGGTTGTCCTTACTCTGGGCCCTGCTCAGCCTCTTCATCTCCCTCCCCGCTTGAGTGTCTGGTTTGTTCCAAGGGTAGCTTGTACACATTTTCCGATTTCCTGGCTGGGAACCTCCCTACCAGGGAGAGTGACTCAGGACCCTAGTGGCCAGGCCCCCCGCTCCATGGGATCTTTGTTTGCTCAGGAGCTTGGCCTAGGGCCCGGATCGGGTGGAGGGTGAAGGATTTCCTGAGCCGTTTGGGCCCCCACCCCTATCTTGGGCCCCAGCCCGACAGGGAGGGGCAGACAAGAGGGCAGCTAGAGACCAGTTGGGGCTTCACTTTTCCCCCCAAGGCCAAGATAATGGAGACTGGTGTGACCCCCAAGGTAACATAGAAGTTTGGAGGGGTTCCTTGGGTGGGGTTCCTTGGGGGTGGTGGCTGAACCCGGTGAGATCAGTTTCTGCTACCAGAAAGTATTTTAACTTTGAAATCTGGCAGTCCTCAAAGAGAGTATTGCGTTTTTTCCTCTGAGCAAGTTAGTGAGACTAATCTCTTCCTCACCTCTAGGGATGTGAAGATCTAGTCCTTGGGGTTCTTAACTAGAGAATTCTGCTCTTCTCAGTATTTAGGCCCTATCTGAAGATACCCGTCCAAGGAAATGGTATCAATTGCCACTTATAGGATAGTGGAAGGACTTCCTAGACCGGGAGTCCAGACACCTAGTTCTAGTCTTGCCTTTGTCATTAACTCAATGCATTAACATTGGGCAAAGTACTTCATTGCTTGGAATCTGAGTTTCCCCATATGAAAAAACAAGAATAATAATCCCCCTATCCTGTCTTCTTGAGTTTTTGTGAGATAACGAATGGGAAATTGCTTTGGAAAGTTTGAAAGTTTATAGCTTTGAGGCCAGGCAAGAAGAGGTTGTACTGGGGTGTATGTGGGAGGGTTTTGAGCTAATGTTCCTTCAAAGAGAATAAGGAAAAAAAATAGATTGATTTAGTGGTTGTTATTAGGGAGGACTTAGTGGATAAATGAAGGTGGAAATACCTTCCTAGGGGATCTTGGGAATTGGGGATTCCCCACCAAAGTTTTTGATGACTTGGATAAAATCCACCTGGAATGGGAGGGCGGGAAGGAAGTGAGGGAAAACTGGACTGGTGACTTTTAAAGGAGATTATGATACTAGAGGACAAATAGAAATCCTGAAAGATGGTGTTGAAATCTCATTCTTTTGGGTGTGAATTCCTGTTTGATGGTCTGACTGCCAGGGCCCTACCAGTCCGGGGCCTACCATGTCCATATTTATTTCTGCCACTTAAGTTGAAAAGGGTCTATTGAAGAAGTAGGGCTTCAGGTTTCTCTTCTTGCCCAGGAACTAATTTAGGATCAGACAGCAGAAAGACAGACATTAGCCTGTAAATGATATTGACCCTACCTGATAATAATAACTCCCTTAGAGCTTTAAGATTTACAAAGCACTTTTCTCACAACCACCCAATCCATTTTACAGATGAGAACAGTGAGGCTGAGAGGTTAAGTGATTCCTCAGGGTTACTCAGCTGCGTGACCTGAATGTCATAGGCAGGGCTGTCTTCTAACTCTGGATTCACCTGCATGTAGCTGACTTCAATTGGGCTTGTTTTCCTTGGGGGGGAGGTAGGGTCAGTATAAGGCCAAGCTTTAATTTGTATGGATTTACATAGAGAGACCAGGTTGACTGTCATGGGGAAACAGAAGCCTGTAGTGGGAAATTAAAGGTTCACTTTTAGTCATTCTTCAATTGCTATGATCCTTTTTCAAAAGATAACTAGCAAATAATAGCAGGGTGAATGAACTCACCTCTTCCAGATGTCTTCCTGACTGGAGATTTTAGATTGGGTAGAAGACAGAAAGAGAAAGCTTGACATTAGCAAAGGATCTCTTTGCCCTTGAGGAGCTTAGTCTGATGAAAGACATATACCCTTGACTCTCAGGTCCCTGTAGCGCAAGGGTTCTTCCTCTTTTTGGACCCCTTTTGGCAGTCTGGGGAAGCCCCTCACATCTAACTGACTTATGTTTCCTCCTCCTTTATCTCTTGCAGGGGAATTTCACAGTGCAGCCGGGGTCAAATGAGAGCTTGCCAGACCCCAGTTCCCAGCATCGGTTGGAGGGCGAGAAGGAGGTGATCCGAAAGGCCATTCAAAAAGAGCTGAAGATCAAAGAAGGTGCTGAAAACCTACGCAGGGTCACCACTACCCGGCGAAACTTGGGCCATGTGGACCAGCTGCTCCGCTCCTCCAACCGAAGACTGGAACAGCTCCATTGGGACCTGCAAGAGCTCAATGCTCACATTTTGCTTCCTGATGAGGCCCAGAGCCCTGCTGGTGAGCCTGACTGGGGTCTGGTAGACTGGCTAGTAGGGAAATTGGGAATATGAGGGAAGAGTAGAGGCTGAGTCCCTCATCCCTTCAACTCATGACAGCTGGGTCTGATAGAAACACTGGGGAACTGTATGGAGGAGGTCCTGGGACATGGTCTGGAGGCTTTGTTATATACTCTAAGCATTCTCCACTTCTTCTTAATAACCTATTATGGACGGCAACTTGGCTTTGTGGAAAAAGCTTTGGATTTGGAGTCAGAGGATCTTAGTTCATATGCTAGCTTTGCTAATCATTACTTCTGTGACCCTTGGGCAAGTCACTTTCCTCTTCTGTGACTCAGTTTCCCCCTCTGAGAACTGAAGAGATTGAGATAGATGATCTCTAAGGATGGTTCCTTCTAGCTTCAAATCTCTGATCCTGTCATCCTTTTTACCTCTAAATGCTATGGGTTGATGTTCAGCAAAGCTAAAATTGAAAGCATCTGGGTCCCTACTTCTGGGGATCACCAGGTATGATGGGTGCCCTTTGCCCTTCAGGAGCTCATTCTGATGGAAGACATAAATCCTTGACCCTCAGGTCCTTCTAGTGAAAGAGTTCACCTTTACTGGGTTGTGGACCCTTTTGGCAGTCTGGGGAAACCTAATGGCTCCCATCTCAGAATAATGTTCTTTTTTTTTTTTTGCTTTTAGGCAATTGGGGTTCAGTGACTTGCCCAGGGTCACACAGCTAGTGAGAGTGTCAAGTGTTTGGTCTGAGGCCGCATTTGAACTCAGGTCCTTCTGACTTCAGGGCCACTGCTCTATCCACTGTGCCACCTAGCTGCCCCTCAGAATAATGTTCTTAAATGCAGACAAAACGAAGCAAAACAAAAAACATAGGATTACAAAGAAAGCAAAGTATAGTGAAATACAATTATCAAAATAGAAAACTAACAAGTTCAGACCCCAGATTAAGAGCCCCCCCCGTCCTAGTACCCCACTTTGAACAGCATAGAGGCAATCACCTGATTTCCTGGACAGCCATATTTATCCTCTGCTGCCATAGGCTGTTATCTTATAGAAGGTGCTGGAGAGGCTAGGATGTATCCTGAGGACCAGGGAGTTTCTGGCTGAGCTTAGGAGATCTACCCCCCACTGTCCACCCCAATCCTTGCCTCCTCCTTCTGTCTTTTCCCCATCCTGAGCTCATGAACAAAGGGTTTTGCTTTCTCCTGTAAATTCCACAGCCTCTGAGCCTCACCCAAGGGAGGAAAAGCCAGTGACCAGACATCTGGAAGCTTTGCGGAAGCAGCTACAGATAGAGCTGAAGGTGAAACAAGGAGCAGAGAACATGGCTAACACCTATGCCAATGGCAGTCCAAAGGTGAGACCCCCATGACCTAGTTTAGAGTTGGGCACCAGGACTCCTGGGGCCTGGGACTGGGGTAGTTCTCTCCCCAGCAAAGGGGGCGTGGGGTAGGTTGGTAAGCTGAGCATTTAGTGTGGAATGACTTCTTGTGTTCCCACACTAAATGCTAGACACTTTGAGTAAAGACAAGAGCAATAAACATTTGTTAAGTGCCTGCTGAGTACAGCATACAATACTCGTTACTGGGGGAGACAAAATTGAGATGAGATCCTGTCCTCATGGCACTTGCAGTCTAGTGGGGAGGTAAGATAACATAGTCACTCATAAAACAAATTATCCTGAGGTAAGTAAGTGTATTAGATCTTTAAGGAAGTGCTGGGTTAGGTCTGATAGAGGATCAGGATTCATGGAGGAGGGGGGCATGTGAGTTTGGTCCCTAAAAAAAACTGGCAGAAATTCAAGAGGGGAATTAGGGAAAGGGACTATATTCCAGGCATGGGGAACACTGAGCAAAAGCACAATGATGGGAGAGATCAGCAAGTGTTTAGGTGCCAGAGAATAGTCAGGTTTAGTTGGCGCCTAATTGAGCATCAGGATGGGAGTAACATGACATAAAGCTGGTAGCAAAAGAAGGGTAGCAAGAGACTGAATGTCAGGCATAGGAGCTGCACCTTGCCTGGGTTGGCAGTAGGGAGAGACTGCAGATTTTTGAGCAGAGGAATGACATGACCAAATCTGTGAATAAGACAGAGGAAATAGGAGACCCAGGGTGCCTGCCCTCAGGAGGATCTGGTCTGAGTGGGGAAACACAGCCTCCACTGGTGGGGGCTCAGGCTGACAAGGAAGATATGGCCCTGGCCCTCAGGGAGACCTGGATGTGGGAGAAGAGAGACAGCCCTGTCCCTGGGGAGGGAGAGGAAACAAGGGAGCAAGAGAAGTCCCAGCTAAAATCCCCCATCCTGTCAGAAGCCTTTCCTGGTCTCCCTTACTTCTAGGGTGACGTTGATTATTTCCAGCTTATTCTCTATATAGCTTAATTGTACATAGTTGTTTGCATGTCATCTCCCCTGTTGGACTGTCAGCTCCTTGAGGGCAGGGCCTGTTCTAGGGCTTAGCACAGTACCTGGCACACAATATGTACTTCAATGTTTATTGACTTATGGAGGAGTTTAAGAGATAATCACAGAAAGACACAGCGACTAGTCTCAGGGCTTTTCCCGCTGCTGTGCCTTTGTTTGCTTTCCTCCATGCCTGGAATATTTGGAATATTCTGTCTTTCCCTAATTCCGCTTTTTTACCAGTCCTTTAGAGACATAACTCAAATGCTACCTCCTCCATGAAGCCCTCCATGATCTTACTGGTTAGTAATACCCTATCCAATGGGAGTTGAAAGCTAATACAAATGGGTTATCTGAATCTTCTCTTCTGCAGGGGGATTTTTGAGTAGAGTTTGGAAGGAGGGACAGATTGGCTTAATAGAGAAGGTTGTGTCTGGGGTCTCCTATAGGTAGCATGGGTAGGTATTGGCTGGGACCTCTAATGGCCTGGTCCTTGCTGCTTCCCCTGAACCCGTAGGAACGCAGGCTGCTGTCAGCTGCTCAGCAGATGCTTCGAGACAGCAAGGTGAAAATCGAGCTTCTCCGAATGCAGATTGGGAAGTTGGGAGCCTCTGGGGAGGCTCTGGCACCAGGTGAAGTACCCTGAGCCCCTGTCTGGGGAAGGGCCTGAGGTCTGGAGTGGGGAAGAAGGGATAGCCAGGTCCTGACCTTTCTCCCATGGGTCTCTTCTCCCCCCTTCCCACACTATCCCCACCTACTCCCATGCACACACTGTCCCAGGGCCAGAACAGCGAAGGGAGCTACGGGCTGGGGACCTTCGTCATCGGTTTCGGATCGAGACAGCTGTAGCAGAGGGTGCCAAGAATGTGGTGAAACTGCTAGGGGGCCGGAGGCTACAGGACCGTAAGGCCCTGGCTGAGGTGAGACTGCAGACCCAGGGCTGAGGACAGGGGTAGGTTCCCACTGACGCAGGGTCAGGTGCTCTGGGGTCCCATTCATGACTCAGAGGAGGCAGGATGATAAGTGGAAAGACGAGTCAGTTTAATGTCAGAGCACCTGGTTTCAAGTCCTGACCCTGCTACCTGTTACCTGGGTGACCTTGGGTAAGTTACTTTGGCTTTTTGGGCCTCAGTTTCCTCATCTGTAAAACGAGGGGGATGGGCTTGATAACTTCTAAGCCTTCTTCTTGACCTAAATCCTGTGAGTTACTCTGCAACCTTGGATACCAACTCAACTGACGGACAATGTCTTTTCTGCCTCTTCCCCCTTCATCCTTTCTCTTCTCCTTTCCTTCCCTTCGTCCCTCCCTTCCCCATCCCTCTCAGGTCTCTATTCCTTCTTTCTCAGTCCCTAAATAGGGAATAGGCCAGTAAGGAAGGGTCCTCTGGATGGGCTACTCAGAAACGCTGGTCCTTAGAGGGAGAGGTTGGGGCAGGGCATTTAGGGGGACTCTACTGGCCTCTACCCTGTCTCCGTTTCTCCTTTCTGCCCTGAAGGCCCAGACTCGGCTTTCGAGAGTCCTTGCAAAAGCTGGACCTCCTACGTCTGGCACTGGAACGGCTAATGACAGAACTTCCTCCAGCCCACCCACTCCGAATCCTTGTGGCCCGAGAGCTACGGGAGGGCATGCCAGGGAGTCCCCAGCCCACTGGGTCTCTCATCAAACCCATAGCCCTCACAGGTAAGGAACACAGTTCCTACACCTTTTAACCTTCACTCGGGATATAGAGGAAAGGCTAGAGGCCATCACCTTGATGCTCAACCTAGGCTCAGCTGTTGCCTCATTGCCCTCTGCCTGGCCTTCATGATACAAGGTTTAAGGCTGGGGAGGCTGAATATGGTGTTCCTGGTGGGTGTTAGATTTCCCCATGTTCTTCGGGCCTAACCTCTCTTTCCATTCTCTTCAAACCTTTCAAACCCTGTTTTTGTTTGTTTGTTTTTATTTTTAGGCTATTGGGGTTAAGTGACTTGCCCAGGGTCACACAGCTAGTAAGCGTCAAGTGTTTGGTCTGAGGCTGGATTTGAACTCAGGTCCTCCAGACTTCAGGGCCGATGCTGTATCCACTGTGCCACCTACCTGCCCCTCAAACCCTACTTTTAAGTAGAAAGAGATAGCCCCGTATTAAGAGTCAGGAAGACTGATTCACTATTCCACCACGGAGTGGAAGTAGAGGAGAGCTAGAGGGCAGGAGATGGCATCCCTGAGGTCATTTGATTTCTCTAGACGTCTCTTTACTTGTATGTTAAATGATACTACCAAATTGGACTCTACCTCCCTCCCTGGGGTACTATGATGATCCAGAGTATTAATGAAGATGAAAAAAGATACTTGGCAAAGTTTAAATTATTCCATAAGTGTAAGGTAGCATTATTTATTGTAACACTAACACTATTATAACGATAATAGCAATAACTCCCCTTTTGCTTCCGTGTCACTTGAGGTATCTTGGCAGAGGCCATATGACCACATCCTATAGCGGGGAATCCTGCAATCACATTGAGTTGAACCGGATACTCTGAGCTCTGACCTTCTAAAAGTCTGTTCTAACACACTCTCTTGTAAGGTCTTTGCCAGCTCAGACATCCTTTTAGTCTGTGTTTTTCAATCCCCTTCTTTTTGTGTGGAAGGGTAGTCACTGAGAGTCCAACCTCAAGATGCCCTGAGGGAGAGGGCTTCAATGCCTCTGAACTATAAGAGAAGAGGGGGAGGGGAGCAGTCGTAGATTCTCCTCCCACAGGCATAGGGATATTTATGTGTTCGGTGGGGTGACTGTTGGACTAAGTGGGTGTCTTCTCATCAAGGACTGGGATCCCTCTCTCTTCCTCACCTATCTCCTAGAATTGGATATTTCTGACCCTAGTTAATAAATCAATCAGTACTTGTTAGAGAGATAAAGCATTTATTAACCAGTTATTATGTGCCATGACTTAGTTTTAAAATAAAATTTTATTGATAACTTCCATTTTTATATCACCTAACATTTCCCAGTGTCCTTTTCCCCATCTTCCCCAGAGAGTCATACCTTGTAATAAAGAAGAAAAAAGTGTTCCACACTTATGTTCCCGACCCCTCCCCTACGATGAAGCAGGGAGTTGCATCTTCTCAGACCTCATCTTTGGGAAGAGCTTAGGCATTATACTTTCTAACCATTCTCTTCCACTTGTTTTGTTATTCTTGTTTTTCCCCTTTACACGGTCATAGTTGCTGTGCATGTTGTTTGGCTGGTTCTGCTTACTTCACTCTGCATCAGTTCATATTAATCTTCCAGTGCTGCTCTGTATTCTTCACATTCATCGTTTCTTGCAGCTCAGTAATATTCCATTGCATTTAGGTACAAAAAACTGGGTGAGCCATTTTCCAGATGTTGGGTGGCTACTTTATTTCCAGTTCTTTGCTGTCTCAACAAATGCTACCACAGATAATTTGATGTCTGTAGGGCCTTTCTTTTTGTCAGATTAGTCAGTATTTTCTTGATGACTCTCTGTGTAGTTCGAAGAAGGCATGTTCTCTGCCCTAGAAGGGCTAACACCCTGGTTGAAGAATAAGACACAACAGATAAAAATATCATCTTCTCCCACAGTTTTCCAGCCTAGAATGCCCTTCTTTCTCTTCTTGATATTGTGGCCAGAGTGCTAGACTTGGGTTGCACAGCTAATAAATAAGTATTGGAGCTGGGATTCAAACCCACATCTCTTCTAACGCCACACCTGACACCAACAGATTTTCAGTTTCCTCATCTCTAAAATAGGAATAATAACATTTGTCCTTACATTACAAGGTTTTTGAGAAGAAAATGCTTTGTATAATTTAAAACATTAAAAATATATAGGAGTTGGGGGTAGGGGAAGGTTTACGTGATTTCTCCCCATCTTCCAAGTCTCATCTCAAGTGCCAACTCTTCCTTGAGGGTTAGAGTAGTCAGAGATATCTTTCCCTTCTGAATGTCCGCAGCATTTACCATTTGTACCACTTGTTTGATACTTTGCACATCCTCCATGGTAGCATTATTCTTTTCTCTTCAACTGAGTGTCAAGTCCTTGAGGGCAGGGGCCATATCTCCTCCTCCTCTGCCTCTTAAAGGCTTGTGAGACTGTATTTGCTTTTTTTTAAAAAATTCCCAATGCTTCCTTTTCATTCATTCATTTCTGTTAATAACTTAGCATAGGACAAGCCCACATCTTGAATTTCCTAGGAATGTCTCAATTTTAAGAAGAGATAAGACGTAGCAAAAGCAATAGCTTCTATCAGATCACGAGTTTCGATTTTCGATTCAGAAAATAGTTACCATGAGGGTGGTATTGATCAATTGCTCATGATTGCTGCCTTCAAATATTTTTGAAAGGGAAGGGAGACTGGACCCTTTCTGTTTGGTCTTACAGGGTGGAACTAGAAGCAACCGATAAGTTAAAGGAAGACAGATTTTGGCTTGACATAAAGAAAAATGTTATAATACTCAGAGCTGTCTGACAACACAGTGAGCTTCTCTGGGATACAGTGGTCCTCCATTACTGGAGGTCTTCACTCAGAGGCTGAATGGCTACTTATCAGAGATGTTGTAGAAGGGATTCCAGGCTTTGGGTAGGTTAGACTAGATCACCACTGAGGTTCTGAAATTTTCTGATGCTTTCAAATGGTTCAGATCACATGGGCAGAGCCCTTTCAGGGCCTCTGCTCCCTCTCCCTGATTCTAAGGATCCTGTCCCACTCTAGAGGGAGGGAGCAAGTGATAGAAAAGCTTAGCAATGGTTGGTCTCTGAGTGGTCATATCCTCCCACAATTCCTCTGGTTCCCATGACTGCAAATATGGCCCCCTGATTTCTCTTTCCCTTTCTCTCTTCCTCCCTTATTAGACTTTCTGAAAGGTGAGAGAAGCCAGGGGCCAAGTGGTCCTGACTGAAGAACGTTCTTCATTCTTCAGCCAGTGTTTCCCCTATTCTAAATTCTGAGTCTTTTGAGCTCAAGAATAATGGGAAAGAAGATTAAGTCTGAATCTGGCACTGTGCCCTACAGGGACCCTGGAGGTTCAGCTCATAGGATGCCAAGAGTTGTTAGAAGTGGTTCCTGGCCGATCCCGAGTGGCTGCATTGGTGGGTAGCCCAGGAGAAAGTAGACCGTGGAGCTGGGGCAAACAGCAGCGTGTTGAGGAACTGACCAGTGAGTTTGGGAAGGGCCAAGTAGGGACTCTGGGAGAGGTTACCCTTCTCTCCTTGATATTTTTTCCTTTGGAGCTTTTTACCCCTGCCCCCAACCTGTGACTTAGTTTTGTCCATGGTAGGGGAGTCTCTACCTTCTTTGTGACCTTCTTTCTGTCCTGTGCCCGACTTGGCCTCCCCCTGCCCTCTAAGTTCACTGCACTGGTGCCTGTGCTCCCTGATACAATCTTCCCCATCTCATTGGCCATGTCCTCCACTGAGGGTCTCCCCGTCCATTGAATTCCTGGCACGCTTGTTTGCACTTCTTGGTACCCCATCCTCATTCTCATTGGGTCTGCTCCTTAACAGAGGAGGTTCTGGCGGTGCTGAAGGTGGATAACCGTGTGGTGGGCCAGACGGGCTGGGGGCCTGTGAGTGCTCAGGCTTGGGACCAGACTTTCCTGATCCCCCTAGAGCGGGTAAGGCTAAGACACTGGCCCTGATCATCACTCAGTTGAGTGGAACTAACACTCTTCTGAGTCAAAATTCTGCCTCCTCACTCTTCCCTAGATTAGTGAAAGGTCTTCCTTTCCTGGTGTCTGGGCCCCCTACTACCCTGCAATTTAGCTTGCCCCTCACATTGGCTCCACTGGGAGGGAGCTGGGTTCCCAGGGGATTGAGAGCTGTCTCCCCCAAACCAACTCCCATTGTAGTCTCGTGAATTGGAGATTGGGGTACAGTGGAGGGACTGGCGGGAGCTGTGCGGTGTAGCTTTCTTGAGACTGGAGGATTTCCTGGACAATGCACGCCACACACTGTCCTTGGCTTTGGAGCCTCAAGGCCAGCTCTTTGTGGAGGTAATACAGTTCCCCCTTCTCTATGCCACTTCCCAATTCTATATACTCTTTCTCTTTCCTTATTTTCACTGTGGGCCATTCTATTAGGAAAATAGATCAAAAAAGAAAATGAAGAACAAGGAAGTGGGAGACGGGAAAGGATGGGGAGATAGCCCTAGATTGAGAGCTGTCTCCCCAGAGAAGATACGTGTGTAACCCCTATGGTCTCTCATCCCTCCATGCTGCCCATAGGTGATGTTCTGTGACCCTGTTATCGAAAGGAGGCCCCGGCTTCAGAGACAGAAGTGCATTTTTTCAAAACACCGTGGTGAGGAGTCTGGTGGAGGTGGGGAGGAGCTGGCAGGGTGTTGTGGGGGCCTGAGCTGACCTGGCTGTATTTCTTCCAGGTCAGGATTTCCTCCGGGCCTCACAGATGAATATCAGCATGGCAGCATGGGGTAGACTGGTTATGAGTCTGCTGCCTCCTTGCAGCTCCCCGAGTACCCTCAGCCCCCCTTGGGGGCGGCCTTCCCCAACCTCCCCGCATGACTCCCCTGGCTCTTCATCCCCCAGGTAAGGTTTGGTGTAGAGGCGGAGAAGGAAAAGGCTTTCTTTGTTCACCCAAGGTCATGATCAGAGGGTAACAGATTTAGGATTGGATGGGGGAATTTAGAGATCCTGCTAAACCCATTCACTATACTGATGAGGAAACTAAGGAGGCCCACAGTGGTTATGTGAGTTGCTCAAAGTCACACAAATGGTAAATGACAGACATCAGGCCTTTATGTTCAACGGGCTTTGCTGCTTCACCAAGCTAAGGATCCCTGGTGTGGAGGACAGAGTACTGGATTTGGAGTCAGAAGACTTGGATTCCAATCCTGTTTCTGCCACTTAGTTCCTGTGTGAAATTGAGCATTTAATATCTCTGGGCCTCAGTTTCCTTACCTGTACAAAGAGATGGTTGGATGAGAGATGACCCTTCAAGTTCTAAAATGCCATGATTTCATGGAGGCCTCATCTCCTTGCCCCATCTTCCCCACTGCTCACAGTTCCTTCCCTCTGACAAAGCCTCTGGTTGTGGAGGCCCCTGCACAGAAAGCCCTGGCGGGGCAACAGCTGCCACCAAAGCCCCCACGTCTCTACCTGCCCGTGGATTCAGCGTCTGTGGAGTCACCGGTGAGGGGGCAACAGGGTGGAGGGTGAGGGCCAGGCCTTGAGTGGGAGTGGGGCATCTATTTTTCTCCCTGTTATTCTCTTCCATCCTGGGATGAACAGGGCCAGAATGGTCTCTGGGAGGGGCGGCCAATCTTGTCTTGAGGGCTCCTCTTCCCCAACCCCTTTTCCTTGCAGTGTACCAAACGTCCCCACATGGAATACAGGAACAGGCTGAGACAGGGGCCATGTGCCACACTCAGCAGGTAACCTCCACTACTCAGGATCAGAGTTTGAGTCTTCTCAGAATGGCAATATCTCAATTACCTAGGGAGTCCCTGTGTGATAGGGTTGTATGGGGGTGGGAGGTGAGGCAGAGGTGAAGGGGCTAGAGGCAGTGACCTGGATGCCCCCCTCCAGACTCAGCTGTTGCTTCATTGCCCTTGGCTAGGCCTTAATTGCTGGAAGCACAAGATTTAGGAGGTAAGAGGAGCCAGGGCCCAGAGACTGAATATGCTATTCCTGGTGGGTATTAGTTTTTCCCTTATTCTGCAGGCTGCTCTTCCCCTTCCTCCAGTACCCACAATTCCTCCTTCTTGTAGGAAACCTCCCAAGTTCCAAGACTTCTGTTATGTTGCTGTGCTGGGCCGTGGTCATTTTGGGAAGGTATTACAGGACCTCAGAGAGAGAGGTCTCGGGTCATTGAATATTTCCCTCCTGGGTATGGGGAAGTGGGGGTGGCAGGAGGGGAGAGCCTAGAAAGTAAGAGATGGGAAAGGATCCTCTGCCTGAGGAGAAGATAGGGCTTGGCAAATGCAGGCATTCATTGGGATGCCACTGGATTATTCTCACTGGATGGTATAGGGAGCTCCCTCTTAATCCCAGCCTTCCTCTGCGTCCCAGGTCCTCCTTGCTCAATATAAGAAGACTGGGACATTCTATGCAATCAAGGCACTGAAGAAGCAGGATGTCTTGAGCCGGGATGAGCTGGAGAGGTGAATGGATGGGAGCACCTGTTATCCTCAGGGGTGGCTGTAGTAACCAGGGCTATCTCCAAGGCAAGCAGATGGGGAGAGGGATGGCAGTTGGCCCCAGATCAAGAATACCCTTTGGAATTGGCCTCTTACCCTAGGCTCTGATGCCCACACCCCATTTTCCTCTATGCAGCTTGTACTGTGAGAAGAGGATCCTGGAGATGGTGGGCCACTCTGGCCACCCCTTCCTTCTCTCTCTGTTGGTGTGCTTCCAGACTCCCAGCCACTTCTGTTTCGTGACTGAGTTTGTACCTGGGGGTGACCTGATGATGCGAATCCATGCTGATGTCTTTCCTGAGCCCCAAGCTCGGTGGGCATTCCCCCCTTCCCTCCTCTTGTTCCCCCACACCTCTTTCCTCTGCTCCCTGACTGCCAGGCTAGCAGCATTACCTTTCCTCTGGTCTCCTCAACCCCTGGTAGGCTTCACAAGGCATCTGTATTTTTTCATTCAATTCAACCAATATTTACGTTCAAAGCACTGCGCTGGGTCTTGGGATTCAAAGATGTAAACTACCATAGTTGCTATCATCAAGGAGTTTCATCTGTTACTGGACATAGGCATAAATAGATAGCTAGGTGGTACACTGGATAGAGTCCTGGGCCTGAGTCAGGAAGACCTGAATTCAAATCTGGCCTCCAACATGTAGTAGCTGTGTGACTCTGGGCAAATCATTTTACCTCAGCTTCAATTTCCTCATCTGTAAATGTGGTAATAATACCTACCTCACAGGGTTGTCTTGAGGTTCAAAAGAGATGCCATGAAAAGAGCACACAGAAAAAGCACTATGTGAATGTTGATACTACTAAGTGTAACATGAAGTAGACTGTGATAGAGGCAAAGGAGAGATACCAAGTGCTCCAGTCAAATCTAATGGCTGGGGTCACTTTCAGCTGCTGAGATCTAGGAAGGCTTTGTAGAAAAGATGGTACCTAAGCTAAACACTGTTAAGAGATATTAACAAGCCTTCGGGGCCACTGTAGGAACTACATCTTCCCCACAAGAGCAGGGGTCCTTGTCTCTTCTCCATTTGTCATCACTCATGTGCTGAGGGTACCTTCCTTCCTGCTGTCTCTGGCTCATCGATCCCCGTGTGTCCCAGGCCATGAGCTCTTATCCTCAGACTTCCTCTAGGGCTCCCTTCAGGTCTAACTCCTATGATCCTGTTGCTAATGATCTCTCTCCAGGTTTTACCTGGCCTGTGTGGTCCTAGGCCTGCAGTTTCTGCATGAAAAGAAAATTGTTTACAGGTAAGTGATGCTCACCCAGCCTGCCACAGGAGGAAAGAGGTGTGAGGGACCCTCCTGCTTTTGAGTCTGGGCTCCTTCATGGGAGATGCCCCAGTTGGGGGAGGTGGGGAGAACGCCCTTTCCTTCCTAGCTTTTCCCAAGTGAAGAGCATCAGTGGAGAGGCTCATCAGTTGAGGACCCTAGGACCCAGTCCACTCAGTGGCCTCTTCTGCTGCCTTACCTCTGATTCTCCTGTTGGTCATCAGGGACTTGAAACTGGATAATCTCCTCCTGGATGCCAAAGGTTTTCTCAAGATTGCTGACTTTGGGCTGTGTAAGGAAGGTGAGTTTAGCCTGGGGGCACAGGGCAGCCTGGCAGCCTGGGCGCTTGGAGCCCAGGGGTCCTCACCATGGCCTTCTTGGCACCTTGCTTTCAGGGTTAGGGTAAGAAGCAGTCGTGTAATTTCCAAAAGGGGCCAATTCCAAGTGACTATTCCTTCGTTCAGTGTTCTCTTTACATGAGCTCAGACTCAGTTTAGTTCCACTTGGGAGGATCTATCCCCCTGTTCTCCATTATCTACTGGGGCTATGGGGATTCCTCAAAGGGTTCTTAGGCAAGAACTCTATGTATAAGTACATGAAGTACAAGGAGCAGACAGAGGCTTTGGTCTGAAAGGCAGTGGGAGGTGACTTTTTTTCCCTCTAGTTGATGTATTAGGAATTAAGAATTTTAGGTGCTCATGCACGTAATATTGACCTCCACCTCCTTTGGTCAACTAATCCGATACTGATGTTGGCCTTCCAGGGATGGGTTTTGGAGACCGCACCAGCACATTCTGTGGGACTCCCGAGTTCCTGGCACCTGAGGTGCTGACAGATGAATCATACACACGAGCAGTGGATTGGTGGGGGCTGGGTGTACTGCTTTATGAGATGCTGGTGGGTGAGGTGAGTCCATTCCCCACTATTCTGCTTCTTCACAAGCCCAGAGCACCCTTCTTCGGGGCATGAAGCCAGGTAGGGGGGACTCAATAGGAGCTAACTCCCTCCACCTGAAATGACTGTCTTCACAGTGCCCATTCCCTGGGGACACAGAGGAGGAAGTATTCGACTGCATTGTCAATGAGGAAGCTCCCTATCCTCATTTCTTGTCTGTGGAGGGCCTTGCACTCATTCAGAAGGTGGGCACTCAGGCCAGGGACAGGATGGTGTGGGTACCTTGACTCTTGGTACAGAGCTCCCTGGCCCGCTATTCCATCCTCATCCCCCAGACTTTTAAAGTTCTTACTTCTGTCTGGCAACTCTTGTGAGGAAGGAGAAGAGGCCTGGGCTGCCTGAAGTGAGCATTGTTCCCTGTGTCTTCTTAGTTGCTCCAGAAGTGTCCTGAGAAGCGTTTGGGGGCAGGTCGGCAGGATGCAGAGGAAATAAAAGTCCATCCTTTCTTCAGGGTAAGATGGTGGTACCTCCAAGCAGGGTATATGTGTGTTGTGAATTGGTGCCTTGCTTTGTGAATGAGTATTCCTGGGCTAGCCATGAAACCAGGTCAAAAAGGGGGGTAGGGTCGGATGGGTGGGCAGGTAGAAAGGGGACATGACATCTGAAGAAGTTAAGAAAGGCAGTATCTGGGAGTAGAGGGATGTGGAGGTATTGATAACTACTAGTGCCTTTGACCTCTTTTCTGTCTGTCTCTGCTCTCTCTCCCCCTTACCTCAGTCCACAGACTGGGAGGCTCTGCTTTCTTGCCGGGTCCAGCCTCCCTATGTGCCGTTGCTGCGTGGGCCTGCTGACCTTCGCCACTTTGACCAAGAGTTTACAGTGCTGCCTCCAGCCCTGACACCTCCTGATCCCCACTGTCCACTCAGCTCTCGACAGCAGGCTGCTTTCCGGGGCTTCGACTTTGTCTCTGATCGGTTCCTGGAGGTCTGAGCTACTAGGGGGGCAGGGCAGCCTTAGGTAGTACACCATATCCCTTTCTTCTTTACCCAGCTGGGTTTACGTAGAAAGCCTGGGGCAAGGGGGAAGCCTGGTAGGCCTTCTTTCCTTTGTGGGCATACCCCACCCTCCATTCACCTTTGAAGCTTTAGGAATAATTTCTAACAACTTTTGCACTGTTTCCTCCCCTTGAAGCTATTGGCTATCATCCGCCCCAGGGAAGGGAATGATGTCCCTTATTTATGAATCCCATTCTGGTCCTAATAATTCCCTTCTGTTTCCTTAGAGACAAGCAGGGAAGGCTGAGGAAGAGGCTTCCCTTGCTGTTATAGGACCTTCTAGAGTTAGGCCTAGGCTGGGTAGGGATGGGAGGAGGATGTGGGAGTTAGGGAGTGAGCTGGTGACAGCAGCCAGAGTCAAGGCTGGTCAGCAGCCAGGGTTTATTGAACATTTCTGTACAAAGCACACACTTCTGAAGGGTCACAGTGGAAAGCAGGGTGCACCGGTGTGTTGTTGTTTTTTTTTTTCCAAACAGTCTACCTGCTTTTTGGATTATTAAATTTGTAAACTGCAGAACCCTAGGGGAAGTAGTCTGAATTGGGAAGGCTGGGGATGCTGAGGGGAAGGAAAGATATAAAAGTTCTGAGGCTTCACTGGGAACTAAAATTCAAAGGCCTTTACACTAAATAGGGCTGTTTACATAAATAGACTGGGTAAGTATGTCAGTGCATACTTGAGCCTCAGTTCTTCTTGCTTCCCTCCTTGGGCCTTGAGCCAGCTGAGGCCTCACCTACACTACTCTGTGACCATTTCCAGTTGGCCCTTAAAAATCCCATTGTCCACATCCCCAGTCCTGACCTAACTTAAGCCTCTGGGATGAAGCTTGTCTCCTGGGAAGGGGACATTGTTTTGCAGTCCAGTGGTTCCCCAGGGGGTCCAGCAACCTGTCACAGGACTGGAGAATGGGAAAGAATCCAGGGTTTAGGCACAAATGGGTCAAGGGTAGCAAAGAGGTGACCTTCCTCCCCCATACCTTATGGGGACAGAAGTGCCAAGATGGAGTGAAATTTAGGTGCAACCTTGACAGGCATGTGTAAGTTAACCTGAATGGCAAGCCACCAGAGAGTCTGCCCCTACTGCCCACTTCTCTTAGATTCCCTATACAGCCTCACCCTCTTCTTCTTGGGCATAGAGTACTTCCCAGGGCACAGCCCCATAGTTACAGAAAAATCGAGCCAGGTTTCGGGCAAGGCCACGGTCAAATGGGCTATCAGGATGGTGGCGGAGGTAGGCAATTCGGTGTGGGGAGATAAACTCCCATGTGGTCATATCACTGGCTACTAAGTAGAGATGAGAGGTCAGAAGCAGTGTCACCACAGTTGAGAAGAGGCCCAGCAGCAAGAAGGTGGCAAAAAGGAGACCATTGTGCTGGAACCAGCTTTGCCAAGGCTCATGGAAATGGAGGCCAGACCTGCAGGGGATAGGGGGGAAAGAGGAGCATTGGGAGAGAACTCTGATCCTTCCCAGGGGAAACACAAACATATGTCTTCATCTGAACCATCCCTAGGGTCTAGAAAGCTGTGGGTACATACTGCCCTATGGTTCCACACTGTAGGAGTTGTCCCAGACCCTATCCCTTCTGAAGTTTCTCTGTCTCCCCCATGCCAGACTCTGGGCAAGGAAGGCAGATCTCCAGGCTGGGGAGAAGAGTACGTACCAGGCCAGGTGCAAGCCCCAGAGGAGCACCACCAGCTGAACTGCCAAGTAGGCCAAGAAGAGGGGGTGGTTGCGTTCACCTACACAGTTTTCAATCCAAGGGCAATGGTGGTCAAAACGACGGACACAGCGTTTGCAGGAGCGGCAGTGTTTGGAACGAAGGGGCTGCTGTGGGGTAGGGAAGGGGATGAGGACAGCCTGTTAGTAACAGGAGCAGGGATGAATGTTCATTTTGAGACTAGGGACACTAAGGCTGCTAAAGGAAGAGCTGTCAATGGGAAACGGGAGATAGGATACACTTGCAAAAACACCAACAAGGCTATAACTAACTAGTCATGAGGGCAGCCTGTTAGATTTGAGTTGCTGGTCTGATTACAAAGACCAAGGTTGGGGATACTTCCTGGAGGAGGTGAAACTTGAGCAGAGTTCGGACAGCTTCCAGGGGAAGAATCACATCCCAGACAGGGCAAGCTAGGGGTAGGGAGGAAGAGGGGACTTGAATGGCATCTCAGCTGCTCCCTTGGACTTCATCAAGCTCCTGGCTCTGAGGGAGGTCAAAGAGCCCATTCAGGCAAGGAGGTGGTTTTGCCTCCGATGTCCCTTCTTGTCTCAATCCCCTTGTGTCTCCTTCACCAACCTGTAGCAAACAGTAGCCACAGCGCCGGAGCCGGAGTGTCTTTGGGGGTATCATAGCTGTCTGCTCCTCTTTAGGTTCTTTCTGGGTAAGAAAATAGAGAGGAACAGAGGTTGTTCCTAGTGCTATGGCTTTAGACCCAGAAGGTTTGGGAATGTTCCATGCACAAGAGGGAAAATGTGGTGGGGTTAACCAGCCCAGCATTCGGGAAATCTGGGCTCTGCTTTCAGCTCTGCTCCTTCCCTGTGACATCTGGGGAAAACCGGTCTTCCCATCTCCACGGGGGAATGGACAGGGATGGGATGAAAACTCAGGCCCTCCCTCGGCCTCTCCCCTCCCCTCGCTCCTCGGGGAGCGGCGGTTACCTGGAGCTGGGTCGGTGGGGTCTCCAGGTCGGGCCCCACATAGCCAGGGTCCATGAGGGAAACGGCCAGGTAGAGCAGCAGAGAACAGAGCACCAGGAGGATGAAGAGCAGGGGCTGCAGCAGCTCTCCTCTGGCTTCCTGCTGCTTCAGCTCTGCAGTCGGGGGGAGACAAACAGAAAGACCCACAAAATCGGAGATAGGCGCGACGGAGACACACGGGGAGAAGCGGGGGAGGACCGGCCCGGAGCAGCTGGCGGAGGCAGAGGGACTCCCGGGGGGAGAGAGGCAGGGTCCGGGAGGTAGCGGCAGAGACACATGACAGCGAGGTAGAGGAGAGGCAGGGTCAGAGAGGGGGAGAGCCCCGAGGCAGGCAGGGCTCCCGGGAGGGCGGGCGCAGGGACAGCATCGGCCGGGGGGGACAGGCGCGTACGGGGCGGTGGCCGGGACCACATGCGGCTTCCCGGGGATGCCCAGGCCGGCTTTGCAGGTGTGGGAATCGGGCGGGGCCCCAGGCTCACCGGTCTCGTGCAGGAAGAGCACCAGCGTGATCCCCCAGGTCAGCACGGTGTGCCCGGTTCGTACAAGGACCCCGGGGCTGAGGAGCGCCCGCTGCCCCATCGCCTCGGCCCCGGGCCCCGCCCCCCACCCTGACCTAACCACAAACCCGGAACAGGCGGTCGAACGTGCCTCGGCGCTCGGGGATTAGAGGATCCGGGACAGGAGGGCGGGAGTTACAGGAAGCGCCAGGAGCGAGGATTGGCTGAGGGCTGGGAAGGCGGGACTCCCGGGGCTGACAGGTGCGGAGGAGGTCGGGGGCGGAGCCGGGCTGCGCGCTCCAGGGTTCTTCGAAAAATACCCGCCCCCCGCGCGTGGCCACACTCCCCGGCCTCGCCTCCAGTCGGCCCCACCCCCGGAACTTAATCGCCCTAAAGGAAGATGGCCCCGAGCCTGAGCCTATCTATCTTCCCCGGGGTGGGCGATCTTGCACTGGGGTCCTTTCCTTATCCTGGCAGCAGCTGGTGCCTACCGGCACCCCTTCAATTACCTCGATTTTAGTATACATTAACGCACACCCACACACGTAGTCTCTTCAATCAGAATGTAAGCTACTTAAGGGCAGAGGCTGTTTAATTTTTGTCTTTGAACCCCCAATCCCGGGCACATGACAATGGATCCTAAATATTATGTTTGTTGTTTGAATGAATCTGCCTATTTGATAGGCGGGACAGGAGGGTCCACCTCCCCTCCTCCGTGCGCGTGTGTGCGCGTGTTTCATTCCCGGTCCTCTTAACTTTCCAGTAGCTGAGCCCTACAGACAACTGATAAATGAAGATATCATACCCCACCTGCACCAAGTCTCTGTGATTACTTCAGAAAGGGGGCTGAGAGCACTATCACCAACTTCCAACCCTAGCCTTGGCTAGCTACAGGGAACTAGACTTGTGATTTCACCGGTATAGGCGAGGAAACTGCTTCTACTGATGTAAATCAACACCTTCTCTGCAATTTAGGTAGAGTTGCCTAGAGCACAAGTGACTTGTCCACGGTGTCAGAGACAGTGAAGTGTCAGAGGTGAAACCTGAACCCAAGTCTTCCTGGCTTGTTTAATAAGCAGAAATGTGGTTTACTGTCACTGTACTCAGGCCCCACAAGCTTGATTCTATCTTCTAGGGGTTACCAGACACAAAGATTGGGGCCATAAACCCTAGTTATACAGACCCCAGAATCATTGTGTGAAGAAGTGTGGTACTGCTACTTTTCCTTGATAGGAATGAGGTCTCTCAAATAGTCCAATCAAGTGATCCTAGCCCTCCTTACTCATGCAATTATTAATGAAGTGAAAATGGATGAATTAATAATAGGGGCAAGTAACCTCTATTCCTGTACTGTTATCTGGCTCTGAGGTCCATGAGTCCCATCCTTCCCCAATAAAGACTCTTGACACCCCCTCCACTTTGCACAAAAATGTATTTCTGTGACATCCCAAGTACAGACGCTTACACAGGACCTGGGTGCTCATTCAAAGCAATAGGCTGTGCCGAGGTCCTCATAGCAGGGACAGTCCAGGTGAGGGGTGATGGAGGGGGGGAGAGGTAGGGTTTGCTCTGTGGGGAAATTACCTAGTCCTTGGTGGGTGGTCTGGCAGATGGCTCAAACTCAGCCCTACTACCAGGATGGAAAATTCAGAGTTCACCCAACACAGGCTCACCCTTGTTAGGAGCTGAGTGTGAGAAAACCAAGAAGAAAAGAGATATTTCAATTCTACCTACACCATCCTGTTTCATACAGAGATAAACACTCAGGGAGAAAGCTAATAGGAGGGACTGGGAAGGAGGAAGAGGAGAAAAGATTTTCTGAGCGGTTGGCTTCTAAACACATCTCATTGATAAACCCCCCCCCCCCCCCCAATCTGTCCAAACTTAAAACAATTCAAAATTACACCAAAAAAAAATTGAGAGGATTTGGAACAAAATATTTAAAAATACATACACGTCTCACACTGTCCAAAACAAAGCACAGAGGTTCCAAAGGAAAAGTCAGAGATTACAATGCCCCATGGTACTGCCTGCTCCCACTGGGACGGGTTAGGCTGTACCACTGAAAAGTGTCTGTTGTGCTGGTCAGGAGAAATGTCTGTTGCCACAGTGTTGGCCTGGGGGGAGCTGCCCCAACTCTTGATGTAGTTTCTAATGCAAATCTGAGTGGGGAAAAGGTACGCTGGGGTTGAGGGCTCTATCTTGGCGAGCTCTCACTTCCAGCTGTCCCCAGGTCTCCTCCAGCTACTCTGAGTCATTCCTCCAGGCTTTCAGCCGCTGCAGGGAAGCAGTGACAGGGCTGTCAGCTGCCAAGGGTTAGTTGGGTTGGGGGGGAACAGGGAAGCATGGTGAGCTCAGCTATCCGGGGAGGAATGCCTGAGACAGGCAAGCACTTGAGTAGTTCCAGGGACTTGGAGGCAGGCATCTTAAGCATGTGCATCTGCTGGCATGGCGGAGGAATCTGTCCCTACTCTATCTTCTTTGGGAGGAAGATATCCTTCACTCCCCTTTTATTTGAAGAGGAGGGAGGCCTGGGCCATGGCAGGAAAGGGAGAAGAAGGGAAGTAGCTTAATGCCACCTTAGCAGCATGGCTTCAGAGTGGTGGTATATATCTGCGGCTTGCAAAAATCAATGCAAAAACATCACCATGGAGAATAGCGAACAGGGTACTTACTAGTTTCTCCAAAGGGGTAAGGGTTATTCTGAGCTTACAAAGGCTAAAGACCTCTGTCCATTATGAGTCTCCTAATCAACACTGTCTGTGCCTTGGCACTGTGAATGGCTCTGTGCCTTGCTTCTAACAGTCAACAGCCAAAGACCCTGGGCTTTCTAGGACCTCTTCAGGGTTTGTTCTAAGACTCTTTGTGTTCTTTTACTGCTAAGGCTCAAACCCCACCAGCCTAGCTTCCACCAGGCTTAACTGAGAGCCTAGCCTAGGCTCCTAGTCATCCCAGGGATCTGGTGCAGGGGACCAGGGATGGGCTGATGCCTTGAACATCAGAAGAGGGACAGAGGAAATAATAAAAGAAGAGACCTGAAAAGTCACAATTTTCCAAGCTTTGAGCCAATGGGTAGTTGGTGGGGAAAAGGGAATGGATATTAGAGGCTCTCTGTGGGCTTAAAAAGGCCAAAGAATGTTGCAAGGACTTGGGGAGGGGGAGGTTTCTTTTGTTTTTATACAGAAATCATACACACAAAACTTCAATTCACACTTCCTAACAAAAAATTATATATATATATATATATATATATACGTATATATATATATATATATGTATATATATATATATAATATATATGTATATATATATAATATATATATCTTACTAATGTTAAGGAAAAGCACTGGTTGTGCAAAAGTTCCCCCAGTGCACCTTCATCTCATTGGGGTCCCACACGCACGGGATGGGGGCCTTCCGACAGCCAAGCTGGTGAGAATTCCTCCCTAGATGCAGTAATTTAGAGAGAAGTTGGGACCTGTGCGGGCCAGAATCGGGAGGGCCCATTGCTTCTATCTGGATGTGTCCATGTTCTCCTCCTTAAAGTTACTGCAGTGCTCTATCACCTTCCTGAGGATGACACAAGGAGAAGGGGAGGTATGATTTAGTTGCAGGGCTTAGAAAAAGGAGGCTTTCAAGGTCCCATGAACGAGCACCAGGTGCTAGGATTATAGATCTCCTATTTCCCAGGTGGACCAAGATGTATGCCTAGATGCACTAGGCAGCCAGCAATATCAGACTGATGGCCTTAGGCCATGGACAGCTGTTCTCAATACCCATAGGACCATTACTACTAAATGTTATGGCCAGATAGGCATTTGATTAGTCTTGTGATCCAATGATCCTTGAGTCATTCTTATTCATTCATCCACAACCTACTTCTTTTTCCCTCTACTTGGCAACCAAACACTGACTTGTATCACTCAGTGTTTCTTCCAATTCCGCTCACTCTGCTGTCCCATTCAGCCTTCTCATCTGGTCAGTATCAGGATGATGACTGATATTCAATGCCCGAATTCCTTGTCTACTGTTCCTCTGGCCAGTGTCGTTCCCTATTTGTCCAATTCTTGCTCACATCTATCATTCTTTTCCATCTAGAACAGTCAATGCTGCTTTAGCACCAGAGGAGAAAGAGCTGAATAGGGATCTCACTTGTCCCTTTACGGGAGGAAAGAATGTCTGCTGTGAGACAGGACATGTAGAAGAATGTCTTTTCTGAAACAACTATCAAGATTCAAGTGCCTAAACTAGTGCTAAGTTTAATAGGTTTTTTTTTTCCTTGTCTGGATCTGTGATTTCATCCACACAGAAAGTTCTGGGTGAGAAACTTCTACCAATGTAGATCAGCAACTTCACTGCAACTGGGCTCTTAGAGAGCTGCCTGGGGTTGCTGAGGGTTTAAGTGACTTTCTCAGAAGTCATGCAGCCAGAATGTCAGGGGTGGGAATTAAACCCAGGTCTTGGGCTCTAAGGCAAGCTCAGCTCTCCATCCACTCCAACCCTGGACTAAAGGGAGCTACTTCTAAGGAATACAGAAAGGGCAAGTTCCATATCTGGCACAGGCACAGGTGACCTTTAGAGTCTCTCTATATGTGCCGGCCATTTAAAAAACCAGAGCTGAAGTGATTTTAGGGATTGTTGGTTAACATCTGAGGTACTGGTCTGAGTATTCCTTTTATGAAATTAACTCTGAAATGTTACATAGTTTCATATTTATAAATTCACTCCAACTCTTTTCTGTCTTAATTCTTATAATTTGTTTTTAGAGATCATACTGTACCTGTTCTTTGCTCTGTAAGTCTTACAACAGCCTTTGGCCAAGAACAATAAAAAAATTCTAATCTAGTGCCAACACCCAGAGATGACAAAATAGAATAGAGACCAGGGGGAAACAAGATAACTTGGCTTAAAAAAGTGAAAGCAATCCCCTATCTCCACATAGAGTATAGCAGCACAGCCATACCTTTCTGGTTTTTGGCAAACCTACAATCTCCGTCCTTCCAGAGGCATCCAATGTGATGTGGCTGTCCATTACCCAGCTCATCCTCCCATTATCCAGTTTAGTTCTCCTGGTTCTAATCCTACCTGTCAATGTCCTCTGCTGCCTGGGGTCCCAAGGATATGAATTTTACCCACCCAAAGTTGTGAATTTCTACACTGTCCTATCACCAAAGAACTCCTGTATATCCCAATTCTACAAAATCACAGTTGCGTGCAGTGAAGTATTAAAACATCTCCTTTGTTTCCTACCGGGCCATTTCTTTGGTCTCCTGTCGGGCAGAAGCCATTTTGATCATGTCCCTCAGAAGCGGCATGCCTCCTTCTTTGATCAGCAGAGGGCAGTACTTGTCCGCTGTGTGGAGAGAGGGAGGCCACAAGTCAAAGGTAATTGGACAAGATTTTATAAAGTGCCCACAGAATAAAGGGTCTTTTATTCAGGCACTATTAAGTAATACAAAGATCTACAAGAGTCCTTGGCCTCCAAGAGCTTATAGTCTGGGAGCTATAATAACAATAACTCATATTTAATTAGTATTTTATATACACGATTTCATTTTTAGCCACAAGATTATTATATCCTATGAAGTAGGTGATACAGGCAGACAGATCAGGATAGGTCTCTTGACCCAGAAACTTAGCCTTGCTCATACATGCTTTCTTTTACCCAAAAGAGAGATAGCGGAGACCTGGCAAGACAGAAAAGCAGATCTAGCATAGAAGGTGGGCCTGCCGAGTCAAAAGACTGCAAGTACTAAGGCTTTAGTGCCTCCTGGGACCTATCTTTCCTAGAATGATTTATTAGCATGACTCAGGCCAATGTAATGGTCCTATTTTGGGAGCTGAGATCAATAGAAGGACCCAATTCTCTTAGGTTGGTTTTAGGGTAAGCACTGTCTTCTTTGGTTCTGGCCCCATGTACTGACAGTCATAACTGAGGGCTGTCAACAAAGCAGAACTATGACTTTGTAATTTGGTGGAGAACCAAGGGGGTTTTGGAAATAACTTCAAGTTCCTGTGCTAATTGCAATAAGTATGAGATAATGGCTATGTCCCCTATTTTCACGTCCCCCAAACATCCAGTTTGCAGCATTATAATCACTGGTGTAAATTACTCTTAAGATGCATGTCTTGTTTGCCCTAGCTCAATTCTAGGTGTCCTAAAGACAAAGACTATGGCTATAATTTGTGATTATCTCTCCTCAGAGTCTCCTCCCAAGCTCTTGGACAAAATGGGTCTATCTGAATATCAGATGAGCTGGTACTTACGATAGACTGACACAAGGTTGTACAAAGCCCAGGTTGCCCAGTGCTGGCTGACAGGGGATATACCCTGGGGAAGTAGGCGAAGAATTGGCTCAAATGACCTGAAAAGAGAAAATACTGTGACCTCTGCTATTTTTAAAGTAGCTCTCCTTGTGTTTATATATGTTTTGGAGAGTTCCAAAGTGTCAGGTAGAAAAGGAAGAGGATCAGCTATTCACAGCAATGGCTCAGGGAAAGGCAGCATTCAACTGGGCTGCCAAAAATGTATATTCAATGTCTTGGGTTCAAACTAACCCACTGCGGTGAGCTGATTAAATGAGATGAAAACAAATGCAACACGAAATGCAGTTAGATTCAAGTAAAAACGAAGTGTCTATGAATTTGCAAAATAGTGGTGGGTCTACTCAATTTTTGTGGTCTAGGAAGGAGAACCTAGAGATAAGAGGGGAACTAAATGGCTCTCCCTGTCTTGGGATTCAGTGATCTAAGGTAAAGAATAAGTACAGGGAACTGAATAAATTCTTTCTAACCGTTTCACTAGGAGAGACAGACCATGTACTTCTTTCCCCCCAGTTTACTGTAAGTCCTAAACTACTAAAATGAGAAGACCTCCTCCCTCTTCCCCAAAATTACCTGTAATTGATGTTTCTCCGGGAGTTGATATCCCAGCTCTGGATGGCTGCCCACATTCTTTCTACTACTTCTTCCCGCTGAGGTTCACAGATTCCCCAGGCTTCTGGGCCATCAAACATAATGTGGGAAAGGACACCGCAGGCATTGTAGGACACTTCAATTCCATCTGCCTTACTCTCCAGCAGGTTGCTAACAGGGAGAGAACAGGCAGGGGATGGAAGGGGTTAAGGTTTTGGCTAACATAACTGGAATCCTGGACTAGGAACTAGGTCTGATTCAGTGTGGTCACTAGTCCTGAAATGAGGGGGCCAAATTCTAGAAGCACTAACCTGAAGACGGTGATGAACTGCGAAGTCATTAGTTGGGGCCGCAGTTCCTTCACCTCTGCAACATTCCCCAGGAGTCCTAGCATATTCCGGTGTAGTTCCTGTTTCTCTGGGAACTCCTGGGAAAATGGGAAACGATGGAGAGGCACATATAAGGGAATGGGCGAGGAGGGATGAGGAGGCTTGGTGGCAGTCATTAAACAAAGGTTTCCCCTTGGGTATGGAAAACTCTTAAGTTTACAGGAATTCCTTGTCCCTGATTAGAAATTAGGGAAAAACCCTATGCTGGTTCAGAGCAGAGCAGATTCCACAGGGGTGTTCCTACAATATACTTGCTCATTTCTAGGTCTGTTCCCTTTCTCATCCCATTCCCTCTGTCCAAAGTATATCTTCAGGGTCTGAGTCAAATGTTTCTTTTGAGCTTCTCCAAATATGCCAGCTCTCATTGATCCTCCCTTTTGTGACCCTTTATGGCAAAGAAATTAGCACTGCATAACTCAATACTCAATTATTCAAAGTCTCGCAGCATTTTATGTGTTTCTTGTGCATGAGTCATATTTTCACAATTAGACTCACGTTCTTTTTGAGGGTAGGGACTATAAGACTGTATTATCTCTCTCTTGTGTCCCCCACAGGCCCAAGCGGTATAGAGCATACCACAGGTAATCATTAGGGACAGATTAGAAAAGCTGATTCTCTTCAGCCTAGAAAGGTGAATGCTAAGAGGAAACATGACAGAGGTCTACAGAGACAGAAACAGCATGGCAAGGGGCAAACATGGAATATTCTCTAAATACTAGAATGAAAAGGCCTCCTTTGAAACTAGAGCAAGATAAGTTATTTCTCACAATGGGCAGTAAGTCTACGGAATTCATAACACCAAGACACCAGAAATATAAATGGATCTGAAAAGAGTCTGGACAATAATGAAAGACTTCTGAACTCTGAAGTGACCAACTGAGACTTCAGAAGTGATGATAAAGCAAGCCTCTTGGCTTTTCTTCAGAGGCACTGCAATACTGAATGAGGCATATATTTTCAGATATGGCCTAGGTGTTCATTTATTTGTTCAATTTCATTTCTTTGTTACAAGGGAATGTTTGGCAGGAAATGGTAGGATTCAATGGGAAGTGATCAGAATGTTAAAAAAATTTGGTCACATTTTCTAAAGGGCAGAGCCAGGACATAAATACTAAGAGAAATTGGGATAGACCTAACCTTTGAACTTGACATCAGGGAGAGCAACTCTGCCTACCAAGGACAAATCCCCACAGGGGGAATGATGATGACATCATCCCTAAGTGGGATGGACTCAATGCAGGCATCCCAGTGTCTCTACGTAATAACTGTTTCTTGACTGGTTGAATGGGTAAGTGGGATCTAGGAATAGAAGGATGGAATTACAACACCAAGACCCCAATTCCCATGTAGTCTCAAAGAGTGAATAATGCCCGAGTGATGATGTTTGCTGGTCCCAGCCTGGCTCATCTAGGCCTGCCTAAGCAGCACTCACCTTCAGGCACTCCAAGAAGAGCTTCATGCCACTGTAGTTAAGGAACATCTCACAGTTGTCTGGTGTCTCATCTGTGATATTCCACAGAGCACTCCAGGAGAACTCCATCACCTGATCGCACTGTGGGGGGAAACATTGGCTAAGTCTCTGCTATTTCCCAGGGATAAAGTATACCTAGATTCCCGGGACAGGAGGAGTAGAGGCTACTGATACCCAACTACAGTACAGGAGAGATGCCATTTAAAAGCCATCATGGCACTGCCCTGTGAGGAGTTCTGAGGAGGGATTGATCCCACCCAAGGAACAAACCATTTCCATTTGTTGAAGGGAAGAAGAGCTGATAGTTATTATGTAAGAACTTACTGTTTTGTCCATTAGCTTTTTCTGAATCAACTTCAGCATGGTCTGTAGGAAGAGAAAATGAATTACTAAGTAAGTATTCTATCATGACCCTAAAAATTCTAAAGCTGGAAGGGATCTCTTTGGCTATTTAGTCTGTTGTTGTTTCCCTTTAAACCAACCCAAGCATGCACGTACCAAGTCTATATTGAAGGCACTTTAACGGAAGAAGCTCCTCAAACTACCTTTGGTCATCCATTCCAATACTTACCAAATGTTCATAATTAGGACATCTTTTTCATTATCTAAGCTAAATGACATGCTGCAACCTATTCTTTTCCCAAAACACTTTTCCTTGCCCTCAACCAAAGGCAGGAAGAAGTACAAGTTAGATATTGGGGAGAGAATTCATGTAGTCCAGGGAAGTTTCTCATTGGCAGAAAAGAATCTGCATCAAGAAGGTTGGGTTGTCAACCCCAGGAATTTCACGCACCATGACAAAACCCATCTTGCCCACAGCCTCCTTGTGGTCATTGTCCACCTGGCAGACAAGGGCATTGCAGAGGTGCACAGCAATTCGCTGGATTGACTCATCCTGTCGAGTGGGGTTGAGGATGCTGAGCAAGAGTTCATTGACCCTCCGGTACTGGAACTCCAGCTCCTCTGGGATGCTGAAGTTGCAGAGTGTCAGGCAGCAGTTCCGCTGAACCTGGGGAGGGTGGACCGGAAAGTGGTGCTCAGTCATGTTCCATCACCCTGACTCTTTTTCTATCCCTCCCATTCCCCTAACTCCAATTCCTCCATGAAGACTTCCCAGACTAACCCGATTTGTCACCCCTATCTCAGACACATACATAGATCAATCAATCACAAATTAATCAAGTCTTTCTCAAGCTCCAGCTAGATGCTAGGGGCAAAAGAAAGATGTCCCTGCCCCTTAAGGAGCTCAGTCTAGCTATGAAACATAACATCACAAAAGAATGTTAAAAATTAGGTGCTAAACTATGTAGTGTTGACTCTAAGAAGGAGAGAGAACTGTGGCCTGGGATGGTTGGAGAAGTTTTCCTGGAAGATGAGGGAGTTGAGCACTCAGGTAGAGGGTGGTTGGAGGGCAATCCAGGTAGGGAATAAGCTTGAATAAAGATCAGAAGAGGGACTAAGAGGGAACCATAGGTGCCAAGGATAGTGAATAGATTCACCTGAGTCAAGGGAAAGATGTAATGAAATAGAGAAGGAAGGATTGATAGGTGAGGCCAGATCAGTCATAACAACAATAATACATAGGGGGTCCGGAGGCTAAGGCAAACGGAGGGGATATAATAGGCAACACAATTCCTTAGGTTCTTAGGAAAAGGGTAAAACGGCAGAAATGAAAAAGAGTTCCTGGCTTCAAGGAAAATATAAATTCTATTAGCATATATGACATGTAAACAGCTAAGTAAATAAAAGTTCACAAATAAAAAGGGAGTGGGACAGCCAGAGGGAGAGACAGGAAAGAGCTGCAGAGGAGGTAGCACCTTGGCAGAATCAGTAGAAGATATCTGAAAGCAGGAACTGTCTTTCATTTTGTCTTATCCTTATTAGCACAGTTCCTTGGAAGTGTAGGTGCTCTGCTGAAGGAAGCTCAAGATTCTTAAAGGCAGAGGTAAGGGAGGAAAGGCAGTCTATCCAAACAGATGGAAACCAGCTACCCAATGCTAAGCTCAGGGAGTCTCCAGCAGACCAGTCTGCTGGAGCTCTCTGAATAGCTGTTACAAGTCACCTTCTTGTTGTTTAATGTTCTTATGTAAGTATCATGTATTTCTGCCTCATCTTCCCCTTTAAACTGGAAGTTCCTTTTGTTCAGGATAGCACAAGATGTCACGTAGAGAGGACTCAATTCATGTCAACCGCCTTCTCCCCCAACCCTGGCAGATATATAGCTAAAGATAGGGGTTCTCACCGTCACCTCCTGGTAGGATTCCATGCCATTGAGTACCACTTGGATGACTTGCCGGCGGAGCTTGACGCTCTGCTCAGGGCGGTACTCTGAGTTGGTCAGGTAGAAAAGTGCGGCACTGCCTGTCACCTGGATATTTTTGTCATATTTGTGGCACTTGAGGGCAGTAATGACCAGCTGTTCAGGGAGAAGGAGGAGAGAGCCAGGGATAGGAGATCCCATCTTAGTTAAGTAGGTGCTTTTGAGCCAGGAGCAAACTGTCCTGGGGACCCGCCCTGTAAGCAGGCCTCCCTTCTCCCTTCACTTCAACTGTTATATGGCAACTATGTGCAAGGGACTGGGATGTAATGAACACCGAGAAGCTTGAGGGGAAAAGGCAGTTTTGGGAAACAAGCAGCCTGGGGTGGGGATGGAGTTGGGAAGCAGACATCTTGGTTGTTGGTCCTACAGGATGACCATGTCTTAGTTGCAACTCCTTGTTGCCCTATTCCAGGGCCAGCTCTACTCAGATGCTGGCTGAATCCTGATGAATCTCCCCCACCCCATGAGATGACAGACAGTCCCAGGACCTCCTTCCCAATTTCAGTCCAGAGAGAAACCAAGAGTATTCCAGACTTCTTCTGGGACCAAGACAGAGAAGACTTTGCAAAGCACAGGATCCTTTCCAATAAAATAGTTGCAGGAGGACACTAGGATTGCTGTGAGAGAACAATGTGGACTAGGGGTAGGGAAGCTCTGCAGTAGAGGAAGCTACTGGGGAACACTGGGGATGGGGAGGGACTCTGGGCTGAGAGGTGGGCTGACCTGCAGGGCTCGGAGTAACTGATTGCAACGCTCTATTCGGGCGATGTCAAAGAGAAGGTTGATGGCTCGAGAGGTAATTTCTGGCCGATGCTCTGTGTAAGCCTCGATGGCATTTAGCACCTGTTCCTCATTCTTGTCACCACTCACCTGGCGGCACGTATGGGAAGATGAAAAGAGGGATTTAGTTCAGTGATCTGCCCAGAGAACAAAGCAGAGAGAATCACAGGGGCCTGCATTAACTGAATCCCCAGATCTTAGGATCTCCTACTTATTCTAGCCTCGATGAGACAGCTCCTTTACACTTGAGCTTCCTATTTTAGGAGAGTAGCCCTTACTTTTTCTGGAAACTCAGGGTCTCCTGCCAAACCTGCTGTCCCCAAGGTGAAGTACTAGAGATTAGGGGAAAATTAGGAGGGATCCCTTCCAAAATCAGAAACTGCCTTGACTTCTCTTAGACTCTTACCTTGTAGGCTGGAATGTGTGTCAGACGGCACAAGGAAGTCTCAAAAAGCCCAAGGAATTGCAGGGGCCGCTTCAGGGCCCGGAAGGGGGTGATGCTGCTCTTACAAGGCTCGACACTGGGGAAAGATGCCACCGGGGCGGGGGTCAGTCGCTGCAGCCCCTAAGGGGACATGCAGATTCTTGCCTCATAGCAAGAAAGGATCACTCTAGGTCCTACTCAAACAAAGAAGCTGAATACAGATTGTGCATAGTGTGGCAGTACTAACCCATCTCCTTAGTACCCTGGGTGTTTAAATGAGCTACAAGGGAGTGTGAGGCAGGGAAGGTTGGGAATCTGCTACATTTTCTAGTCTTTTTGTTTTTGGTGAGGCAATTGGGGTTAAGTGACTTGCCCAAGGTCACACAGCCAGTGTCAAGTGTCTAGTCTGAGACCAGATTTGAACTCAAGTCCTCCTGCCTCCAGGGCCGGTGCTCTATCCAGTGCACCATCTAGTTGCCCCTTCTATAGTCTTTTAAGGAGCAGAGAGAACAGGTATATCCTGACCTCTTAGAAACGCTGCCCAGTGACCTGGGAATTTACTCAAACTATTTCATGGAGGATGTTCCACCCAAATCAAAGCATTAAGTTTCCTATGGCTGAGGGGAAGTAAATAATCAAAGCTGTTTTCCAGTAGGTGATCACTGGACATTGAAAGACTCAGAAGACCAGGGGTCAGGAAAATGAAATCTAATATTCTATCCTGAGTGAATCCTGGACCTGGACAAAGACTTTCTTCAATTAACACCATGGCTTGATACAGCCCAAAAGGAGGCCATCCCTCAAGGAAAATGGATTGGGAATACTTTATTTAGTCCAGCCTGTCCAGTTCCTACCTGGTCTGCCCGGCTTCCTCATCCATCTTAGAGATGCTGCAGTTTTCTAGCATCATGTGGCCAGAGATGTCCAGTGACACCAGATTTCCCAGCTTCTGAACAAAAAGGCTCAGTACCTTCCTTGTCAGCTTGAACTTATAGTAGCTGGAGAGGCGGTCTCTAGAGATGTCCAAGTGCCTGGAGGACAACAGGTAGTCCAGGAGGTCAGAGGCTGGTCTGCTTGGGTGCATGATACCCCTTGATCTAGACCATTCTGGGAACAAACCTGCTGGGACTTGGATATGCTCCAGGATAACCAGGTTCAGCTGTATGTCTGAGATGGAGGGGAGAAGTTCCTCCGAAGGGAGCACTTGCCCTCAACCTGGGGCCTGGAGACCAGAGAACTATAGCTATCTCTAAAACAGTCCCTAGTTCCAAAGAAGACTCAGAGTCCCTAAATTATCAGTGCCCCGAGGCAACTTTAGGTCACAAGGAAGGTCCTTTTTTTGGGTTCCCAGAAAGTTGTTTTTCTGTCCTAGGGGATGTGGGTGAAGGGGAGAATGAGAGGAGGAGAAAAAAGGCTCACCGGAGCTTGTGAAGCTGAACAATGACACGGATATGCTCATCAGACAGGTCCATGTTGTAGAGAACTAGGGACACCAAACTATCCTTCCACTGAGTCAGGAAGGCAACATCACTGGTCTGGATGCCTGAAAGGTCCAGGGCAGCCAGGGATCGAAGAGGTCGAAGAAGAGACTCCACAGGAATCCCCTCAGTCATTCGGCCAAGGTTGAGGAACCGAAGGCGGCTAAAGCCCTCAAAGGTGAAGTCCTTAACCAGTACCTGGCAGGTGGGGTTGACCACACACTCATCTTCACAGCCCCCAGGGTTCTCCTCTTCATAAAAGATGTTCCTGCATCCAAAGAGGCTCAGGGAAACCAAGGTGGGGCTAAAACTACACAGTGTCTGCAGACTTTTGGCAGTCAGCTTCTCACAGTTGGTCAGGTATAATTCAACCAGATCCTAAGAAAGCCAGGGAGATGTGTGAGAATTATAATTACTCCTCATCCTCCCCCTTTCCATCTGGTATCAGTAAACAGTGGGATGGAATAGGCATCAAAAGCCTGCATTCAGATCTCAGATTGGTCACTTGTTGGAGGACCCTGAGGAAGTAATTTCATACTTCTTGAGCATCACAGTTTCCTCACTGATAAAACTAGAGAGTCATACTTGCTCTGCCCATTGTGAGGCTCAAATGAGATAAAAGATGTGAGAGTCCTTCAAAAAAAAATCAAGTGTTGGGGCAGCTAGGTAGCACAGTGGCCTTGGAGTCAGGAGGACCTGAGTTCAAATGTGACCTCAGACACTTGACACTTAATAGCTGTGTGACCCTGGGCAAGTCATTTAACCCCAACTTCCTCACCAAAAATAAATAAATAAAATTAAAAATCAAATTAAAAATCAAATATTATACTCAAATATGTATTGTTACTATTATCAAGTACACAAGATAGAAGAGGCAAGACAGACATGGACTTTCAGAAACCTCTCCTGCTCATGGCTAATATGAAAATATATATTACATAAATGTCACATGTAATTGATATCAAATTGTTTGCTTTCTGAGGGAGGGAGGGAGAGAATTTGGAAGAGAAATGTTTAAAAATGAAAATAACTTTTACATGTAACTGGGAAATATTTAATAAAATAAATAAAAATATATTAAATCTTAGGGGAAAAAAAACAACTATCTTGCCATATGTATTATTTCTCCAATTAGACTAAGAACAGAGTTAGCATCTAATGTTGCCCTCCACTCCCACTCCCCCATCTCCCACCCTACCATACCCTGCCCAAAGCATCTACTGGGCTGAATCTAACCTGGTTGGATTGATGTTAACATCAGTAATGTAACCATGGAACCTTCAGTTCAAGAATCTATTTATGGTAAGGGTCCCAGGAGGTTATCTGCCCTGACATCAACTTCATAAGGTAAGGGTTGGGCCCCAAACACCCCCAATTCCCCTTAATAAATACTCTGTTAAGGAGACATGATCCACTGATTTAGACAAGCCTCTGATGATCCTATTTTTATTTTCAGAGTATGCTACCAGAGGTAATGTGTTCCAAATTTGATAGCCCCTTATATAAAATAAGATTTCCTTTCTCTAAAATTATTCCAGTTATCATCCCTTACCCCCCCCAATAGGCTCATTTTTGCTTTAAAATTCCAGGATGTGGTAAACAAAATCTAATACTTCTTACATCCCAATTCTCTTCATGAGTTTATTTGGAGATTCTGCCTGTTCAATCCACTCATTCCCTCTCTATAGGCCTCCTACCAGCCTACCTGCTTTCGAATGGCTTCCAGGTCCTGGTCCTGCACCAAGTCCTCTCGAAGGTGGATACGAGTGAGTCGGGTGCTTCGGGGATCTGAGAAGAGGCTGAAGAAACTCTCGTGGGGCTCAAAATTACAGTCAGCATTGACTAGCTCCACATACCTGAGGAAGAGGGATGGCTCAGCTCTGAAGTTAAGAGATGGAATAAGGGGAGCATCTTGTACTTGGAATGCCTTCATAGCTCCTCTCTGTCAATCCAAATCCTAACCCTCTCTTTCAAGACCTAGTTCAAGTCTCATCTCTTCCGGAAGGGCTGCGTCCTGATCTGCCAAATGGGAGAAACAACTTCTGCCCTGTCTACAGCCTTGGATTGTTATGAAGATGAAATATAATGATAGGTATGAATGTACTTTGTAAACTATAAAGTATATAAATACAGGGTGTTATTATTGCCATTTCATGATAGTATAACTGAATCCTTGTTTTTTTGGTTTGGTTTTGTTTTTTTTGGCAAGGCAATAGGATTAAGTGACTTGCCCAAGATCACGCAGCTAATACGTGTTAAGTGTCTGAGACTGGATTTGAACTCAGATCTTCCTGACTCCACGGCTGGTGCTCTATCCACTGTGCCACCTGCTGCCCCTGACTCCTCGGTTTTCATGCAGCATATGTATCCTTCACTGTAACTTCACTACATCTTAGTAGACGGTCTTCATGGAGATGTTGTGGCTGAAAAATTGTGATCAACCTGGAAATAAGCCACTCCATACTTAGGCTGGCCAGTCTTCAGATGAAAGACTTACAATCCATGACCAAGACCATAGCAGGAGGTACTAGGTTCCTCCTGGTACTCATCTAAAAAAAGGTGGTAGATTGGAGTGCCCAGGAGTTTTCATCTGGGATCCTGAATACTTTCATTCATCCCACAATCATCTATACATATATGTATTTACTTACCACAAACACACCCCCATATACACATATATCTTCCCCCTACCTCCACTAACCCTTGACCTACTCATTGACAAGCCGGTCACAGATCTCACTGGGTAGGAAGACATCTGGGTGCAGCCGCAAGGTCTCGTTGTCCAGTAGGTAACCTAAAGTCCCCTCTAGATTTCGGAGGCAGAAGTCTGTGCAGAGTGCCATCAGGGACTCAGGGCTGTCCGATGCCATCCTGGGGCTGGGGCACAGGCGTATGGCTTGAGCCGAGGATGCCCCGAGGATGATAGAGAGTCCTGTCCTGGTGGTAGTCACAGAGACATTTGAGGTAGTGACAGCCTGGCAACAAGGAAAACAAGGAGGTGAGCAACAGCTCTGGGGTGCTCCAACTGAAACAGCTTCCTCTACCGGCTTAGGGGGTCCCTTTGGCAAACATGGACACAACAAACACAACTGATCAAAGATCAGGCTCCTTTCTGGAGCCTAGGCAAAGGATCTTAAAGCATTTAACAGCAATAGTCCCTCGTTGCCTTAGAATTAGGGCCAAGCTAAGAATCTGGGCTTGTGATGAAGTCCTTCAACAGGAATAAGGTGAGCCACCAACACACATACTTCATTTCAGTCTTGACAACTGCATTCTTATGTCATTCATTGAGATAGACTTTCTTGCACCCACAATTCCCACCTACTTCCACACTAAGGTCATTTTAGGACACTGAAAAGTGGTGTCAGGCTATTCCCTAAGTTTTCAATAGTAGAAAACACGATCCGTAATACTAAGGGGGGGGCAGGGCTGCTCTGTTCTCTCTGGGTTAGAGGTTGCTTTCTTGAGTGGCCCAGTTCTTAACTGCCAGATGTATGAGAGAACTCATAAGCAGTACATTCTCATCCCAGGACCCTGTTCTTTCCCAGCTCCCTCTGCATCCTTTCCCCTCTTATTTGGAAGCTTGATGGTTAGTTGTCATCACCAAAACTGAAAGCTAGAAAGGGGTCTGAGTGGGCTGGGAGAGTTAGAAAAGACCAGGATGATCTTTGTCTGGCTTGTCAACAAATAGGTAAGGGGCTTTTGGGGCAAGATGTACACGAACGGGATATGTTTGTGGTATGGGGCTGATGAGTACATACGTGTGCAGATGAGTGTAGATAAACGAAAGGTATACAGGAGCCCAGCTAAGAACTAGGGATGCTGATCTATCATACTTTTTAGATGATTACTAGGAGGTACCTAGTACCTCCTATCCTCCTGGTCATGCATTCTAAGCCTTTCATCTGAAGACTGGTCAATCTAAGTATGGAGAGGCTCCTTTCCAAGTTGGTTATGAGGTGATAAACTGTTTGAGTGACTGGAAAATAGAATCTCTGCTATGCCCCCTCCACCATTTACCAATTAAAAAAATTTTTTAAATCGGACGAGAGCGGATATTTCTTTTCTGGAGAATAATGCCTTCTCCACCCACCAGACCCTAAGTCCCTTGGGCTGGAGGCCTCACCATCCTAAATTCTGCTCTTGGATATCCTTGGAAGTGTTCAGCTGTTCTTCCTATTCCCCCCTTTGCTTTTTGACATGGTATGCCGGCCTGTTTGGCCTGATTCAATTCCTCCACCCCTACTCCATGTACCCTTTCTCTGGCACCTGCTGGCCTTGGCAGAGGAGGGCTATCTCAGGCTCCCACTGCCAGGGCTGTTCCAAGGAATCAGATCCCTTGGGGATTCCTGCCTCAGGAAGCAAGACTTGGCTACTCCCTTCTGCTTCACCTTCTGGCAGTTTTAGACAGAGGGGGGTTTGTGCAGCCCTGGGCACGGGGCCTGTGCTCCCAGTAGCCTTGTGTACCTCATATAATAAGTCTATTGTGCCAACTGTCCCTCTGGCTACGTGACACCCTCAGGGGATGGTACAGTAAACAGGATGCTTGGGTATGGCCTTACTTTGCCAATATTAACTGTTCTCCCACAAAATATCCAGTGGTGCTTTAGTGCCATTGTCCTCAGGCTTGGGAGGAGCAAAGGGGGAAGGCTAGCAGAGAAGCACCTCTTTGCTCGGATGGATGAAATCCAAACTTCTCTGCCTAGCATTTCAGGTTTCCAGAATACTCACTGCTACCCAACATGACCTTTTGTTCCAATTATGCCAGTCTACTCACTATCCACTGAACACTATGTGCAATCCTGCCCCCACGGCTAGGTCCATGCAGATTCCTCATTTGGATCTACATAATACCAGTCCTTCAAGATCCAGGTCAATTTGCAAAGTTTTTCTTAGGCCTTCTCTGACTACTCTAAAACTACACGGATCTGCAGCTTTTTATAATTCCTGAAGTACCTGGCACTAAACACACACTGCTCCGAATTATCAAAGAACTATTTCATGTCTTGTCTCTCTAACTAGAGTAAACTGTGATCCAGAGAAAGGGGACCATATCTTACATTTTTCTTCTATTTTAACCCTGTGATTAACATAGTGTTAGAAACAGAGTCAGAGTTCATGCATTCACCAAACTATATTCAGGGCATTGTGCTAGTCGCTAGGGATAAAGAGCAAACTGACACTGAACCTTCCATTCTACTACAGGACAGACACGATGTGAACACAGATAAATATGATAGAAAGCAGGAAGTGACAGAGGCAAAGGAGATCCCAAAATGCTCTTTAAAAATTTGAGGAGAGTGCAGTGGATAGAGCTCCAGCCTTGGAGTCAGGAGGACCTGAGTTCAAGTCTGGTCTCAGACACTTGACACTTACTAGCTGTGTGACCCTGGGCAAGTCACTTAACCCTGATTGCCTCACCAAAAAAGAAAAAAAAAATTGAGGAGAAAGTGAACCCTTTCAGCCGGGAGGATAAAGGCTTAATGATTAGGGATTCAAGACCAAGTGCTGCCCCCTCCTCTGCATTTCAGGGACCAAGAAAACTGCCTGCCTGTGGTGGCTTGTGCATAGTAACCAACTTAGGTACTTAGTTCCCAGGTCATCAGAGGATTCTGCCTGGCACCAAGACATACCAAGGAGACTGTACTACCTGCTGACCCATTCCTTTGGCCATGCCGATCTAGATGACTGGGAATAGGGAGGGCTGAGAGGAGAGTTGTTCCCGTCTTGGCACTAAGCTGTCCTCAGGCAGTGAACCCCAGGGAAAAAGAATGTTTTCAACAATTGTGCCACTTGTGTGGAAATGTGGCAGTCTGCAAGATCCCCTTACCCCCTTTTCCTGTCCCCAGTGTTCTGTCTGAATCTGGGCAGGACTCCATCACATGTCATGGCCAATCAAGAAATCTAGCAACAGATGATAGCCCCCCCCCCAAATTATGACAGATCACTGAGGAGTAATAATCTTTTGTGTTTCTCTAGTCCCCCAGGGACTAGAGATAATGGCTATTTGATGAGGGTTGTGGGAGTGAATGGAAAGGAGACAGGTCCGAAGAAGGAAGGCGACTTGCCCATAGCTGGTAGTAGAAGCACACTTAGGTCTCCAGATTCAATTCAATTCAATTCCAAAGGGAAGCTGAATTTTTCTTGATGAAGACAGGAAGGGCAAGGCCTTAGAGCAGCTTTGGCACTGTGAAATATTAACCAAGACACTCGGGGGAAAATCAAAACAAATGTCCTATTTATAGAGCCTGGAAGCTCTCCAGAACTAAAAGAATAACAGAATCAAATTGGTCCAACCCATAGGAGGACAGAAGGTGTAATCGGCCCAGAGAGTTTGGTTAGATCAGAGAGCAAGAGGTCAGAGTGTAAGTCTCCAGATATTCCAATGATTCTCTTGGCACCTAGGAAGCTATCTGACTCCCAGGAGTTAGGGAACACTTTGGCCTGGGCATCATACTAGAAATTAGGAGACTAAATGAGAATGAAATGAAATGAGAATAACTAAACCCATGATGTTAAGATTTAGAACTGAGAATGACTTGAAAGAAATGTTGGGATATTGGGGTAGAAATCAAGGAGAAAAGGATGGGAACATTAGCATGTGGCTGTTGGCACAACCCAAAGGAAGTAAAGGCTGTGTACCAGAATGGGATTCAGAATGCCTAGGGTCTATCCTTGGCTCTGCTACTCTTTTGTCATCAAATATGCGCAAAAACAGGAACCTTCTATGTGGGTCTCATTTTCTTCTTTCTGGACAACAGGCCTCTCTTGGGTTCCTTTGAATCCCTACACCACTTTTTGTCCATTTCATTATTTTGGCACTTAACACAGACTGCCTTATATTATTACTTAATTTATCTCATCTTTTCAGTTAGGCTATAAGTTCCTAGAAGACATTCATCTGTATCTCTCCCATAGCTCCTTGTACAATGCCTTGAATAAAATAAATGCTTGATAAATACATTCTAATTAGTCAGTTGTGGGTAGAGGAGACTTGAAGCTATAAAGTCCTAGGCCAATATCCATCTTTATTATTATTGAGAGCAATGTAAACGAACCACATATAGAAGGCTAGCACCCAGCCTAGATGAGTAATCAAGGGTCTTGAAAGGTTTTGTGTGCTCCCTGCTTTCCGGTATTGAACCAGGGGGTGAATAGAGAACTCTTACTGCCTTTTTATTCTATTTATTTATAGGTAAGACAATAGGTGAGAGTCCCAGCAAAGACGATCTCAAAGCTTGGAGAAGACACTGATATAACTACTTCTGAGATCTGACACTGTAAGAGAGACAGCTGGATTCTAGTCCTAGCTCACTATTAAAATTACTACATAGTCACATAGAAGTCAAACACTTTGAATGAACCTCAGATTCCCAGGTATAAATAAAGAATAATAATCCATATCTTGACTACATCAAAGGATTATTGTGAAGTTCTAGTGAAATGTAAAAATGCTTTGAAAACTCCACATAGTCCTGTATTATATAGTAGGTTTGGGGGATTGGGAACCCAAGGAGGAGATATATATATATATATATATGTATATGTATGTATGTATATATATATTTAAGCCACGATGCAAAAATATGAGTTTGGAAAACTTAATACCTCATGGTCAGTAGCCTGAAGGAGCTGACCCAGTGCTCCTTGGATTTGATGACCACTGATCTTTCAAGCCCATGTCAAAGGTCATTCAACTTAGAATTTACTTACCTACTGGGTTCTACGAACCTGCCATAGTCATCCAGGCTGTCCAATAATGGCTAATATATAGTATTTTAAAGTGTGCAAAAGCCCTTTACAAATATTATCTCAGCTCATCCTCACAACAACTCTGTAATGTAGGTGCTATTATTATCCCCATTTACAGATGAGGAAACTGAGGCTTGGAGAGTTAAGTGATCTGCCTAGGATTGTCCAGCTAGTGAGTATCTGGGACAAAACTCAAACTCAAATCTTTCTGACTCCAGGTTCATTAACCTATCCACTGTACCATGAATCTTGCTCCTGCCCCAGCCCCTTAATCCACCACAGCAGCATAATATAGGAGACAAAGAGGGAGTAGGATTGCTCCACCGACACACACGCCTTAGAATTTAGTTTGTGCTTGCAACTTCATTTCTTTTCCAAGGCTATTTTTGATATTTGGTTTTTGTTTTGTTTTTACCAAATTTTACCTGAATTGAAATGTTTCTGGTGTGATTAGTGGCAAGTCTCAGGCAATCCCCACTCCCCTACTCCAAGGAATCAGAGGCATAAACCCAAAGAATAAGAAATGGATAATCCCCAGATTAGGCTCCACCCACAGAGCCTCAGTGAATTTTTGAGACTGAGTAGATCGTTATCGCAAGTTTTCTTTCAAGAATTGGACTGCTAGACTGGTTTCATTTTAAGTTAGTCTACTTCTCTGGCTACTACAAACTCTAACAACCCAAAGTGATGGGGTTCCCTTTGCCAGATATATTCCATTACTTAGAAGCAGCTTTTATTAGGACACCTATAACTTTTGACTTTGGAGGCTTAGCATCACATGGGTCTGGGTGAAGGGAAAGAATTTAAACCTATCATCCATAGTTCTGTCTAGAGTGAAGAAAAGATAAAAGTTCGAACTTTTAAATTACAAAACGGCACAAATACACTAGCAATATCCCATTTAGCCATTTCATTGGGGGTGGAGGTGGGAGGGTGAGGGCCAGGGAAGATTTCACAGCCAATTCTAAAGTGAAGTGGGCATTCCTATCCCTGCCTTTATGGACAAAAGGATGCAGCCCTTTCCAGCCCCATTCCACTAGGTAGGTGGGAATGTGGAGAAAATAGAGAGACAAAGGGAAATTTTGGGGAAGAAATTTTGCACCGACGGAGTGGGGACGTGTGTGTATGGCGAAGGGGGGCCGGGGAACCAGGCTGAGGACGGATTTCTACCTTGGGTGGAGCTGACCCCGGGAGAAAGTCTGGGCGGAGGTGGGGAGAAGTCGCCCTGGAGCGGCGGCTTCCTTAGCAGCCTCGGGTAGAAGGCGGAGGGAAGCAAGGGGGATAGGGGATCGGACCTGGGGATGGAGGAACGGATTAAGGATGGCGGCTCTCAGATCCAATAGGGATAGCGGGGGAAGCAGCGAGTCTTGCACCAGGAGGCAGGGAATCCACTAGATCCGGTGGGCGCACGAGGGATGGGGGGGTGGAGGAGAGAAAAATCTAGTGGGTCCCAGACTAAGGACCCTCCACGACTTATCGGATAGGGCCGGCGCTTAGGGAAGGGGAGAGAGAGGTTGTCCCGGCGCATCGCCGGGTGCTTCCCAGGATCCACTAGAGGCGGGGGAGGCAGGACCCAGTGGATCTCGGAGCCCGAAGAGCCGAGGCAGGAGGGGGGGATCCCGCACTCACCTTCTCCCGGCTGTCGGCGGCGCGTCGGTCCCCTCGGTGCTGGGGCGGGGCGAAAGCCGGCCCGCCCGCCCGCTGCTGGCTGTGGGCTCCGGGCCCCGAGCCCGTCCTCCCGGATCCGATCCCAGCTCTTCCGTCCGCCTCTCGGTCCCTCCGACTCAAGCTCAGCCGCCGCCGCCGCCACCGCCGCCGCCACCGCCGCCGCCGCCACCGCCGCTGTCAACAAACCCGGAGTCCGTCACTTCCGGGGCCGCCCCTTAGCAACCACGAACGGGTTCCCTTGCTCCGAAGTCCGGCGGGCAACGGTGGGAGCCGAGGGACGGTTCTGCTGTCGACGTGGGGCCGCTTCTTTTACCGGCTCTCCCACTTTTTAACTCTCTTCGCCACATTTCTCGCTGCCACTCTCCTCCCCTGCCCCCCCCCTTTTCTAGCCTCTTTGTTCCAGTGAGATGGCCAGACATATTCGACCCCACTCCTCATCCTTTCCAAGCCAGGACTTTCTCTAAGATCAAGTGGCCCCTTCCCTCTGCACCACAATTGCTGGAAGTGGGGAGGAGAGCACAGACTGGGGCCTCTTTGCATAGAACAAAGACTCTGCAAGAAGGCAGTCTCAGAGGCTCCACCCAGACAAAGCCTTCCACCCTCCAGTGCAAAAATAAAAGTATTTATTTATAATTCACATAGCGCTCAAAACCACTTTGCAAATGTCATCTCATTTTATCCTCACTACAACTCTGGGAGGCAGGTGATTTATTACCCCCATTTTACAGATGAAGAAACGGAGGCAGTCAGGGGTTAGGTGACCTAGCCGAAGGTCACACAGGTAGTGCCTAAACTGAATTTGAACTCAGACATATCTTGAGTCGAGGTCCAGTAGCTTTAGCCCTGTGCCACCTAGCTGCCTAACACGGGAAATGTGCTCAAAAGTCTCTTGATTCCCTGGTCCCAGCATCTCTGAACTGAATTTGAATCCCTCCCTGAACTTGACCTCCCTCCCTTGACCTTTCCCCTCTCTGGGTTTCAGTTTCCTTTGCCTGAAAAATCAGGGACTTGGGAAGCGTGGTATGATGGAAAACCGAACTGGATTTGGAGCTGGAAGAAAGGCTGTAAATAGCAGAGGCAGGATTCAGACCCTTAGATTTAGAGCTGGAAGGAACGTTATAGAGATTTGCATGTCCAGCCCCCTTCTTTCCCTCGAGGGTTTAAGTGACTTGGCCAAGGTATCACAAGCAGGCCTGCAGTCCTCTGACTCCAAATCCAGCCTTTCCTACTGCCATCTGTACCCTGCACACATGCAACCCACTCTCTAACGATGGTGGTGGGTAAAATGAATAGTGGTACGTGGAAATCTTCCTTTGTGAACCATAGTGGAAACGGCCCTTCTCCTGCGCGGGATTCTGGCCTCTACACACTTGCTTTGCCAAGGGTCTGCAGTGAGTCTTTTGGCGAGTCATTTTCCCTTTCTAAGCCCCAGTTTCTGGCCCAGATCCAATAACCATTCCTTTCTTCCTTCCTTCCTTCCATTCTTCATTCAACAACGTTTAGCAGGTGCCTACTGAAGGCAGAGCCTTTTAGCGGACCGCCCAGGCTTTAGCCGGGTCGGACCTTCGGGGTCTTGTGTGCTCCCCAGGGGGCGCTAGGAGACCCCCAGCAAGGCGGCAGCTCAGGCTGGACAGGGCGCCAGGGTCCCGAGGCTCCACGGGACGCTGGACAATGCCTGCCAGGTAGAAGAAAGGAGTGAACCCAAAGGGGAGCTGGCTCCGCCCTTGGGCAGAGGGCATGAGCAGATGAGGCCCGGAGGGCGGAGTCCATGAGAGAACGAGGCCAGCTGCAGGGTCCAGAGTCCCGGCGCCTGAGGGCTGCGGGGGGGCGGGGCGGGGCGGCCGGAACGGCGGCGTACGGGCTGCGCTTCCGGCCGGACCCTTTTTCTCTGCGCTCCGTGGCAGTCGCAGGGGGCGGGGGGAGGTGGGGGGGCGAATCCGGAAGTCAACAACATGTCGAGTCGGCACCAGAGCCGGTGAGCTGTGTGGGGGCCCGAGGGGCTGGGGGGCCGGGCCAGCTGCCGTCCTCTCCTTGATCCCATAACACTCCCTCCCACCCTTCGCCCCGCCGTGCGGGTGGGATCAGGAGACCTTCTCCCAGGGACCCCTTCCCCTCCCCCCGTTTGTTCCCCCCAAGTCCTGCGCTCTGCTCCCTCTTGTCCCCGCGCCCTCCCCTCCCTTCTTCCCCCAGGCCCCACTGTTGTCCCTCACCTTTCCCTGTCTCTATCCCTTCCCCCCTTCCTATTCCCTCTCTCCCGTGCCCCTACCATCCTCTTGTCCCCCTTTCTTCCATCCTCTTCTTCCGTGTCTGCTTTCTCTATCCTATTGTCCCTCCATCCTCTGCTCTTCCTGTTGCCCTCCATCCCAAATCCTTTTGCTGTCATTTCTCTTCCCTTTTTCTCCCATCTTCCTTACCTCATCCTCCCGTTTCCCTTCCCTGATTCCCCATCACCTCTTATTCATCCCCACCCATCCCTACCATCTCTTGTAGAGAATCCTCACTTTTCATCTCTTGTTCATCCCCACCTATTCCCATCATCTCTCGTAGAGAATCCTCACTTTCTTTTAGCTACGCCTTCCCCCATTTTCATCCAGCTTCCTCTGTATGTTGTCATTACATCTCATTGTCTCCTTCTCAGGGATTCCTTTTCTGAGGAATCTGCCGTGTATCATCTCATTCTCTTCTCCTGGTTCTCCAAGTCCCGCTCCTTGGGTATTCCCTGCTTACTGATCAGCAGACTCTTTAGTTATGGGAGAGTGAGGGGCAGAATGGAGACCAGAGTCTTCCCAGATTTCTTTGTTGGCAGGAAGCTGCCTTGCATTAGTGTAGCAGCTTTGGAGGAGAAACCCTGTGTTCCAGGGAAGCCGTTGTCAAGTCAGAGGTGCTTTTTACTATCATCTCAGAACTTGAGAGATCCCAGAGTCGTAGTCCTAAGTCTTGCAAGAAAGGAGGAACTATATGTCTTGATTCCCAGCCTCAACTTCAGAAGTGATAAATGCCTCAAATTTATTATTGGCTTTTCTTGTCTTGTCCTGTGGCACAGCTAGATTGCAAAAATAAATTTGAGTGAAAGAGTTGGCGTAGCTCCACAAAGGTTATGGTACAAGTGAACGTATATTAGGTGAAGCATCATAGTGGAGTAGAAAGAGTATAGGACCTGGGAATCAAGGTGCCCAAGTCCTTGACTGTCTTCTAATTAACCAGTTTAGTATGTGATTTTGGGCAAAACCGTTTTACTTTTCTGGATGTCGGTTTCCTTTGTATAATGAGAGAATTGGACTAGATGGTCTGGGAGGTCCTTAGCTCTGAGATTCTTTTATTTTAGATTAATTTAATGGCGAGTAAGGATTTTTAAAAAATTGTTAGTATATCTAATAAGTCACTCCCAAAAGTTTGCTTGAGAAAACAACTTTGCAGCTGTTGACTGAGGTATTTCAGGTACTCTGAAAGAAATTGAGTACAAATGTCAAGCAAGAGAATGAACTCAGGGTGGAGAAGTCTGGAGACAAGTCCCTACTCTGGAAAGCTAAGGTACTTATGGGTCTTTTGAATGTGGCATTCTTTTATTTTAGAATTGCAGATTTCCAGGATGTCCTGAGGGAGCCCAAAATTGCCCTGGGGAAGCTTCGAGAACTCAGTTTCAGTGGTAAGACAATTTTGTGTCATTGGGAACCCCCTAGGAAAAGAGAGGCAGGAACAAGGTCTCATTTCCAAACCTGGCCTGATCCAGGGTAGTTCTAGAAATAATCCTCAGAACTATTTGCCAGTGTCTTTGCAACTGAGTTGCTAGTGACTATGATGAACTTGGGCTTTTAGACCCGCACCTAGTATGACAGTGGTTACCATTGTTAGCAGAATTAAAAGTCCCCTCCCGGATCTTTACAGTTGCTGAAGCTATCACAGTATTTTCAGCTGGGAGCTCTTCCATCTAGAAGTCATGCTGTTCTGAGGAACTTTTTAGGTTTAAAGAAGCCTACTCTTGTTCTAGGAGCAATTTAGTGGACTTCTTTTTTTTTTTTGCCTAGGCAGTGGGGTGTTAAGTGACTTGCCCAGGGTCACACAGCTAGTAAGTGTTATGTGTCTGAGGCTGGATTTGAACTCAGGACCTCCTGAATCCAGGGCCTGTACTCTATCCACTGCGCCACCTAGCTGCCCCTTAGTGGACTTCTTAAATGCCTTAATCTGGTTTGTCCTAGAATCACTTCCATTTTTTCCTCATGCCTTAGAATCATAAGATTGACTCCAAAACTGAACAAGACCATATTGAACTTTGGTTAGTGGTGAAATTCCAGCCAAGAAACACTGATTGTATCAATGTTTAACTTGGTTTTAACTGGCACTATGTACATGCAGAGAAAGATATCTGTTCTTTACCTGGTTTTTCAAAAATATCATTAGTGACTTAAATGGTTCTTTATCATATCTCATCCCCCAGAAATCTGTTCTTTTTAAAATAGAATGGGTAACTAGGTGATGAAGAAGTAGAGCCTTGGGCCTGGATTCAGTTAAAATCTAGGCTCAGACATCCTCAGACACTTAATAGCTGTGTGACCCTAAGCAAGTCTCTTAACCCTCGTCTGCCTCAGTTTCTTCATCTGTAAAATGGGGATCCTAAGAGTAGATGCCTCCGAGGGTTGTCGGTGAAGATCAAGTGAGACAATGTGTATATAGCACTTAGCACAGTGTCTGGCACATAGTAGGTGCTTAATAAATGCTTGTTTCCTTCCTTAATGAAATAGTACAATAGCTCGCTCTTATAGTGCTTTAAGGTTTGTGCAGTGATTTACAAACGTCATCTCATTTGATCCACACAGCTGCCTGGTGAGATTGGTGCTCTTATTACTACTCCCATATACTGGATGAGATAGCCAAATCCCAGAGAGTTAAAGTGATTTGCCAATGAAACTAGCATCTGTCTAAGGCGGGATTTTCACCCAGGGCTTCTCCAGGTCCATTGCTATATTGTCTAAGCCAGTACTATCACATTCAAATAGAAATGGAGCTACTAGACCATACATGAGGATCCCTGTGGGTTTTTTGTTTTTATTTATTTTGTTAAATATTTCTCAGTTACATTTTAATCTGGTTCATCCCACACTCAGAAATGTTGCAGGCTGCATATGTTTAATACCTCTGCTCTAAGCTATGCTGCTTCTCTCTCACCTTTTTAAGGTGTGCAGAATGAGGGCTCTTTTCTTCCCTCAAATTAAATTGAGATGTTGGGTAATTAATTTACAATTTGAGTTTCTTTATACACTGATGCATCTGTAAAATGGAAATCCTTCAGAATTAAGATAGAAATTTGTCTTCCTGTCTACAAAAGTTAAGCTAAACATATGGACATTGAATTTCCAAGAATTTAGAGAGAGCACCTTGACTGAGCTACAGGCTCTGATGTTTTGGGTGAATTTTATGCTAAGTCAGAGGATGTATTGACTTCCCCTGAGATATATAGTCATTTGAAATGTATAAAACATCTTGTTGGAAGAAGACCCTCTCCTAGGAGTCCACAGCTAGATGTGTCCCATTGAAATTCTGGGACCTATCCTCAGAGGAGAAAATTGAAGATTCAGAATGTTCATTGATTGTTTGTGATTTGGAACAAGAATGTCTTTTTTCCCTGAGCAGTGTGCTTGATCAGATCTTTCTTTACCACTGGAATAAATGAGGTCACTGCCTGGCTTTGCCAGGGTACAGAGAAGTGCTTTGCTGGAAGCAGAAACTCCTAGTTGCTTCTGGTGTGTATGCGGGATCCTGTCTTAGTGATCCCTAAGGGATAAGTTAAACCTTTGGCATTATGTCTCATGCCGTCACTACCACCACGAGTTTAAACCTAGTTGCCTGTGTGCAGTCAGTGTTCTCAAGGTCCTGTCCCAAGTGAGTGACCTTTGCCTGATGTGTTCTACAGGGATCCCTTGTGAGGGTGGACTGCGCTGCCTTTGCTGGAAGGTGGGTGTTCCTGGGGGCTTGGCTTTAGCTCCCCCTGTGAGTACATGAGCTTCTGCATGGGGTAGCCTTCCTCTAGCTCTCTACTACTGGCTGGGAAGCTTTTGCTGGTGGTTATTCCTCCTTGATACTCTCTCCAGGAGCTCTTTGGGGGCCTGTTGTCTGCCCTCTCACACTAAACTTATTCATAAAAGGTTACAGAATAAACATTTCCTTGATACTTTTTAGAACGGGTGATCCCTTTCAGGCAATCAAAAAAATAACCCCAATCTTAATTTAACTCTTCTTCAATCAGAGAACATTCAAATGTCCTTGAGCCTTAAAAGCCCTCACCCATGGGATGTAGGGAGGTGATATGCATGGGGTTTAAAAAGTCCTGGCTTTGCCTAATGGCTTTGGCCCAAGCAAGAAGGAAAAACCGGATTTTCTGTCTTCAGCTTCCCTGTAGCCCAACAGAGAATCTTCTAAACAAGGGCTCATGTTATAGTTTAGAAGACATAGTAGGAGAAGAGCAAGGACAAGGGATGACTTTTGGGGTATGGCAGGAGCAGGGAAGCCACTGAGTAAAGAGTAAAGGGTGATCTCATCCCCACATTCCTAAGGATACAATCTCTAAGCTTGTTCCTATCAGAAATCTCCCAGCATTTCTTCCCCGAGACTGCTGTTAGTGCAGAATACCAGAACCTCAATCTTTTCCCTTTGTGCAGATTCTTTTGAACTACCTCCCCTTGGAGAGGGCCTCATGGACCTCCATCCTGGCCAAGCAGAGGTGAGCTTCCAAGGGGAGTGATTTATCCCCAGTGCAGTTACAGTTTTTTGCCCAGGAGAAGTGGGGATTGGTGTCAGCTGAAGAAAGGCAGACACATTGTCTTTATGCTGAATTGATCAAGAGCTCTGGGCAAGGGAGGGAGGGCTGTTTGTGTGTCTGTGTGTTTAAAGAAGGAGCCAGCCTCTGTGCTGCTCACCTATCTCTTTTTCCTCTTCACAGGGAGCTGTATTCTCAGTTTCTGAGAGAAATGATCATTCAGCCTGGCATAGCCAAAGCTAACCTGGGGGTATCTAGAGAGGATGTCACTTTTGAAGACCACGTGAGTGCTAAGGGCCAACTGCTTATTTAATTAGAGAAATTGAAAAGGTGCAAGTTAGGGGTGGCAGGTACTTAGAGTCAAGAGAGATTCCTCCCTGGTTTCAGAAATCCCTTATGTCCTTCTTTATCACCCTCACCCCCACTTTCCTGCCTCTGGGTGTGGTTTTGCTTCGTTCCCTTCCTGTGCTTGCCTCCCCATTGCCACTCTCTGATGGTCCCAACACAGCCTTTAACTGAATGGCTTCTGAGGGTACCCATTGTCCCACTGTCCTTCCAGGACCTTGCTAAGTCAGGAGACACTTCTCTCTTGCCCTTTCCTCAAACGTGGAGAAGGGCAACAGCTGGAATGCAGAGACCTGCTCTGTCAGGCTAGGGGAGGCATCAGGCAACCACACATTCACTGAACATCTCTACATGCCAGAGATTGCTAGTTGCTGTAGGGGATGCAAAAGAAATATAAGCCACAGTTTACAGTCCAGCTGAAGCAAACAGGACAAGATAACGCCTTCCTTGCATTGCTAGTCCCAAATAAGACCCAAATAAGAGCTTAACTATACTGTGGAAGCTTAAAGGAGGAAGGGCTCACCATGGGATAAAAAACTTTACAGGAAAGGTGCTCTTTGACCTGGGCCTTGAAGGAGTTAATCAAAGAAAAGAAAGTATCCCAAGTGGGAAGGCCCATAATATATTTGGAGGACAATGAAAAAAATCTGTCTGAAGCTAGTTCATACAGGAGAGTAGCAGTAGGGAGAGTGGGTGGGAGAATAACCTTTGGCCAAATTGGGAGGGGCTTGACTGCTAGACTAAAGAGTTTGGGCTAATCTCTTGGCAGTGGTTGTGATCCCCCCTTGTTCTGTCTGCATAGTTAAGAACATTGAATTTTTCAAGGCTGACCGCATTCAGGGCTATAGATGACAAGTCTAGCTGTAATTTTTTCCCCCTGCCTGGTCCCTTTACAATCCTAAGAACTGAGCTTAACAAATGTCCTTGACTCTGGACTGTTCTTATTTGAGATGAGGCTACTGATCCCACCTTTTCTCTCTACCCAGCCACTCAATCCGAACCCTGATAGTCGGTGGAACACCTACTTCAAGGACAATGAGGTGTTACTGCAGATAGACAAAGATGTAAGGTGAGTGTGGAGCCAGCCAGGCCGAGGAAGTGGGAGGAGACCAAGATGAGGCACTCAGGCCACTTTGGAGTTCTTTGTGGTTGTTTTGAACATTGCTATTTTCTTCCCCTCTTCCCCAACAGGCCTGTGGTAAGGAGGCCCGAAGAGCAATTTGTGGAGTTACATACAGGAAAGCTGAAAATCAGACTATACGAGTGATAGAGCTGAAGAAGAGGGATCCTGGAAGCCAATTGCCTGCGGTGCTAGGACATGGCATCCCTGGGTTGATGTCAGTTCCTTTGCACTGTCTCAGTTTTATTCATTTGACAAAGATTTATTGGTGTTCCTGTGTTCTTCTCTCCCGCTTTAGGAGGCTGTGCCCTGACATATCCTTTTTCCAGAGGCCTACAGATTACCCATGCCTCCTCATCCTGGATCCTCAGAATGAATTTGAAACCCTCCGAAAGCGGGTGGAGCAGACTACATTGAAATCACAAACAGTGGCAAAAAACCGGAGTGGAGTCACCAATGTGAGAGCCAGCTTGGGAAGGATGGGAACCTTCATAAAGCCATTCCTCTTTCTGACTTTTTCCTTAGTGTTACTGCTCACAGGGCAGTAGCCATTCCAGGGTGTTTGGGGTTGTCCACTTTTGCTCTTAGTGATTGTTCTTAACAGGTTCAGAGCCATCATAACCACTAATGAGGGCTGTTCAAGAAGTAAGTTTACAGTATATTTTTTAAAAATTGCTTCTATTGCAAGATAAGTGAGTATTTCAGGGGCTTATGTAACAACTTAGTGCTGAGTGTTCTGTAGGATGTCCTAGCATATTAAAACATTTTTTTGTAGTATGGGGCAAGCTTGGTGAAATAGGTAAGATAATAGAGTTTGCTGGTCTTGTATCTTTTTTAATATAGTAACAGTAGGCTTCTATCTTCTTTCCCAAATCTATGCATGTCATTCTCGATATACTTCTTTTTGTGAGTGAAAACATTCTCTTTATAAGCATTAGTAAGTTAGTGTTGAATTTCTGCAGTGTAATTTTTTTTTTTCACTTTAAAAATCAAATCACAGACTACACTTTTTCTGGCAGCCAACTGGGAGAGCAGCAATTAGTGTGTGTGTGTGTGTGTGTGTGTGTGTGTGTGTGTGTGTGTACACATACATACATACATACATACATACATACAAAACTTTATTTTGACAACCATTAGAATTTACGGATATTCATATATATGAACAAGAGCATTTTGTATGAAAAAGAAACATTTAGACATTTTTAATGGACTTATGCCAAGTTTTAGAAAGTTCCAGCTGATCTCCATTGTAGTGGTACCATAGATGTCTAGGAAAATATTGTTTGACCCAGAAAAGTATTTCACTAAAAGTAGCATACTAGGAAATAACCTTGTAAACTTAACCTTTTGAATACCCTTTGTCTTTGGCTGCTGGTCTTCTGGGACAGGAAAGGGATCGTTGGTTTTGCATTCAGAGATCTCTTGATAGTTATCTGAGGAATCCCTTCTTGCCACTGGGTGTCAACTCAGCTTCTATTCCTCATAGCCTTTGAGTCTTATGAGACACAGGATAATAGAGAAACTAATGCAATATTTGATTAACATATTACTTTTCCCTCTAGCCTCTTGCATTGAACTTTTCTCAGCTTCCCTCAGTGCAATGCAGAATCTTTGCAGTAGTGTCAAACTCAAATAGAAACGGGGCTGTTAATCCATACATTAGGATCCCTGCGGGGGCCTATTGCTTTAATTCTAAAATGTAATGTTATCTGTGCTTTATTATATTTTTATTTATTTTGCCAAATATTTCTAGCAGACACAGCAGTCCTTCCCTTGATTGGAGAATAGGACTTACGGGTCTAGAGGGTTTTTTTTTAATATGTGGTTCCTTTCCCTATAGATGAGCTCACCTCATAAGAGCCCAACCCCAAATTCACTTAGTGAGTATCAAGTGCTGCCCAATGGTTGTGAAGCCCATTGGGAAGTGGTGGAGCGGATTCTGTTCATCTATGCGAAGCTGAATCCAGGCATTGCTTACGTCCAGGGTATGAATGAAATCGTGGGGCCTCTCTACTACACTTTTGCCACGGATCCCAATAGTGAATGGAAAGGTGAGAGACTTAAGGATGACCCATTACCACCAAGTTCCTGCTTCTGCCTCTAGGATCCCCATTTACCCAATTTCCCTTCCCTCTCAGAGGAATGGGGAAATCAAATCAGGAGAAGAAATCAGGAAACATTATGGAAAGGCATTATTGTGTAGTAGAAAGAGCATTAGACCTAAAAGTCAGGAGGACTTGGATTCTAAGCCCAGCTTTTCCAGTTTCCTGTTTCTCAGTTTCTTCCTCTCTCATATAGGAATCAGAAAGTTATTATTGGAAGAGATCTCAAACCACTGGGTTCACCTCCCTTATTATGCTGATCAGGGCTTAAAGATTGGAGAGATAAATGACCTTTTTCCAGTCCTGTGGCTCATTATTGATGACTGAGCTGGGGCAAGAGCCCTGGTCCAATGCTCTTTTTCTTACAGTCTTAGCAATTCCTGCCCCGTTTGCCTCCCAGGGCTGTTGTACACAGTAGATGCCTAATCAGTGCTGACTCTATTGAAGTATTGTAAAGGTTAAGGGAGATAAAATGTATGCATTCAGCAAACATTTCTGAGAATTCTACTGTGGGTGATGGAAGTATAAATAAAGCATAGTCTGTGCTGTAGCTTATCAAATCATGACAAATCGATGTCGTGCCAGTTAGTCCCCAAGAGTAGTACAAAGAACTTCATATTTGCAAAATTGCTTTGAAAATCTCAAAGTGCTATACTAATGTAAGGTACTATTATTGTTATTGTGCTTAAGACACTACAACAGGTAAAGTAAGGGATGCAAAAAGAGAAACAAAGTCTCTACTGTCACAGAGCTTAGTTTAAGGGAGAGAAAACCTATATGTGAAAGATTTAAATGAGAATAGTAGTCTTAAAAATACACCAAGAAGAACCACCCACATACTGTTAAAGATGTTAGGCAGTATACAGTCATTTCCTATGAATATTTTAGGACATGGCTAGGCGTATAGAGGAGTGTTGAATACCTGTGGTCTGGACTGGTCAGGAAAGTTTTCATAGAGGAAGGATTTAAGTGAGGCCCCAAGGGACAGGTAAGCTTTGTCTCAGCAGAGCCGAGGAGGAGGAAAGGATTGTAGGTGGGTGCCCCAGCCCAACCAGAGGAGTGTGGTAGGGAAGAAGTATAACTGCTTCCTTGCTCTTTCTCTGTGCCGGTTGAAGTCCCCAGCCCCAGCCCCTCGGGTCTCTTCCAGAACACGCCGAGGCAGACACATTTTTCTGCTTCACCAACCTGATGTCTGAGATCCGGGACAACTTCATCAAGAGCCTGGATGACTCTCAGTGTGGCATCACCTACAAGATGGAAAAGGTGTACTCCACCCTGAAGGAGAAGGATGTGGAGCTCTACTTGAAGCTGGTGAGGAAGGCCCTCAGGGACCATTTAATCCTGTTCCTGTGATTATCAGTCATCGTTCTACGTGTAGCTGGTGATTGAGGGAGAACTTGGAATTTTAGAGCTTCTGGTTAGTTTTCCCACATGAAGTTTCTCCTAACTCCAGTTCATCCTTCTCTTAGCTGCCAAAGTGAGTCTCCTAAAGTGCAAGTATGATCATTTTACCTTCTACTCAATAAACTCTAGTGGTTCCTGATTGCCTCCAGGAAGAAATATGAAATCCTCTGGCATTTTCAACCCTTCACAACCTGGCTCTTTCCTGCCTTTCTTCTTCTACCTTATTTTTCTTCCTACCAGTCTTCTTACACTTTATTCCCCTCCAAATATTCTATAACCTAGTGACATTGGCTTTCTTGCTATTTTTTATACATAACACTTAATCTCTCAACTTTCAGCTTTTTTACTGGTTGCTCACCATGCCTGGAATGCTCTTTTGCCTTATCTGTACCTACTGGCTTCCTTTGAAACTCAGCTCAAATCCCACCTTCAGGAGGCCTTGTCATCCCTCTGTCCCTCTTCCTCCTTTTCTTCTTCCTCCTCTTCTTTCTCCTTACCTCCATCCCCTCCCCCCCATCCTTTCCTCTGGAGTTACTTTCCATCTACCCTGCACATGTCTTGTACGTACATAACTTTTTGCCTGCTGTCTTCCCCAGTACAGTATGACCTCCTTGAGGGTAAGGACTGTATTCTCCCCTTTCTCTGTGCCTTTCACATGCTCAGTACTTAATAAATGTTTGTTGACTAGCTGACTTACTGTCAAGCCGAGCAGCAGTCCTGATAGGAGGTATGTTCAGAGAACTGATAATTTAAAATATGACTTGCAAATGGATGCTCAGTTGAGATCTGGTTAAAACAAACTCTTAAGGGAAAGGACAGTGGAAGAATCAGTGGCCCAGAGATTTCTATCCTAATCCCAAATTGCCTTCATCTAACCCACAGCAAGAGCAAAACATCAAACCACAGTTCTTTGCTTTCCGATGGCTGACGCTGTTGCTGTCCCAGGAGTTCCTGCTTCCTGATGTCATCCGTATCTGGGATACCCTCTTTGCTGATGACAACCGATTTGACTTCCTCCTCCTCGTCTGCTGTGCCATGTTGGTGTGAGTCTCATGTGAATCAGGAAAATGCCCTCCCTCAGCTGGGCAGTCTCGGGGAGGCCATGGGGTGGGATTGGGAGGAATGCCAGAAGAAGGAATAAAGAACTCTCTTATTTAGCCAGAATGGTTTTTTTGAGTAGAGAAAACACTCACGCTAATTTGATGTTGGGATTGTTTGGGAGAGCATTGCACAAAACTCCGTCTTGGTGGTAGGAGGAAAGAGATTATTGGTCAAGCAGGATCCTTTCTCAGGACACCTGGACCACGTCTTGGCTTCTTGGTGATAGATGTCTATAGTCCATGGGTTCCTTTGTTGAAATTTGAAGGTTCAAGTTGTGTTGGGACTTGTTTTCTTTAGATTGATCCGGGAGCAGTTATTGGGAGGGGACTTCACCTTGAACATGAGGCTGCTTCAGGTAAGGGCCTGGGGAAATCCAGGCTGAGAAGAATGGTAGAGCCAACAGCTATTATTTAAATTGTCACTTCAGAGGAGTCCTGTCAGGGAGACTGCTGACAGGGAGATTGGGGGCCCCAGAGAGCCTTTGCTCTTTGAAGATTAATGAGAACAGCTGTTTTGAGAGGTACTCTATGGTTGAGGGTGGCAAGGGGAAAGGATAGGTAATCAGTAAGTATTTATTAATCACCTGCTCTGTGCTAGGCACTAGGGTACAGAGTACAGAAAATGAAATGATCCCTTCTCACAAAGATCTTACATTTGCATGGTGGAGATAACAGGTACATATATAAATATATGCAGTATACTAATAAAGTGAATATTTACTAAGTCGTTAAATATAAGGTAATTTGGGAGGGAGGGTAGTACTAGCATTTGGGAAAGGGCAGATTAGAAGAGGCCTTAGGCAGAAAGATCTCACTTGAGCTTAAAGAAAGAAAGGGATTGAGGCGGCTAGGTGGCGCAGTGGATAGAGCACCGGCCCTGGAGTCAGGAGGACCTGAGTTCCAAGTCCAGCCTCAGACATATAATACTCACTGGCTGTGTGACTCTGGGCAAGTCACTTAACCCCAATTGCCTTACCCCCCCAAAAAAAAGGGAGATTCTAAGAGGTAGAGGGAAGGAAAAAAGCTCATTTCAGAAGTGTGGGATGGGTAGTGCAAAGGCACTAAGAAGAGGGAGTATGTGACAAAAATAGAGAGAAAGCCAGTTTGGCTGGATTTCAAAGTGCATAAGAGGGAATGATATCCAACAAGGTGGGAAAGATAGACCAGGATGTATAGAGCTTTAAAAACTAAACAGAAGAGTATATTTTATCCAGAAGCAATCGGAAGCCATTGGAATTGACTGAGTAGAGGAGTCGCATGATCATATCTGTACTTAAGGAAAATTACTTTGATGGCAGTAGTATATGATGGACCAGAGTGGGGAGAGGCTGGAGGTAGTGAGCCCAGTTTGGAGGGTATTTCAATAACCTAGGCAAGAGGTGATGAAGGCCTAAGCTAAGGTGGTGTGTGTGTGAATGGGGAGAAGAGTCAAAGCCACGTGAGTTGATGAAGTTACCAACAAAGCATTTAGAAGGAGAAGAGAAGCAGGCCTAAGACAGAACCTTAGGGAACATCCACAGTTAAGGGGCTGAATATAGATGATGACCTAGCAAAAGAAACCAAGAAGAAAGCAGACAGGTAGGAAGAGAACCAAGAGAAAAGATTATCAAAAAACCCCAGAGGAGGAAAGAGTGGGCAACAGTGTCAAATATAGCAGAGAGGCCAAGAAGAATGAAGACTGAAAGGTTGAAGATTTGAGAGAGAGAAAGAGGAAATGATTAAGGTTGTAATCTGCTGGAGAGGATGGGAAGGGATGGAATCTAGCACGTGCAGAGTGTTGGCAAGGAGAGAGTGGGAAGTGGTGTCAGAAGGTTTTGAGATAAAGAGAATGGGAGAAGAAGCTCATGTTGAATGGTCTCAGTTTCTCAGTAAAGGAAGAGGCAAGGTCCTCACCTGCTAGGGAGGGAAGACTTAGGGGCTTGATAAGGAAAGAGGCTTGATATAGCTTTTGTGGGGAGTGAGATGGGGAGTCAGCTGGGGGAATAAAAGGACTGCCTTGCTGTAGTGAGGGCCCAGTTGAAGTTTTTGGCTAACATGAATTTTTAAAGTATGGTAGTCAGAACAGTTGTGAGATTTCCTCCAGTTGCATTTAGTGGCTCATGCATAGGAGGGGGATGGTAGGAGTAATCTAGGGTTAAGGATCAAGAAAGGTGAGGCATAGGAAAAGGCAGAATGATAGGAAGTTATGGTCAAAAGGGAAATGTCAGAATTTCTAATGAGGGAAGTGGAGAATAACCTAGAGATAGATATATGACAGCACCTGTAATAGCTAGCATTTTGAGGTCTTCAAAGTGCTTTACACATATTATCTCATTTCTTCACAACAACCTTGGGAGGTAGGTGCTATTATTATCCCCATTTTACAGATGAGGAGCCTGAGGTTGAAAAAGGTGACATTTGTTGGCCAGGGTTACACAGGCACAATACATCTGAGGCAGGATTTGAACTTGGGTAGGTCTTCTAGACTCCCAGCCTAAGTCTCTAGCCACTGGACCATTTAATATGGGTTGTGTGGAAAATTTTGATTGAGTAGACTTGAGAGGAGGAAAGGTTGTTGCGTGAAGGCAAAAGGAAAGTAAGTATGATGGTACATAATTTACCTAAGGTTACACAGCTAACTAGTAGTGGAGTAGAGGGCCCTAATTTAGGTGTGTGCCCCTAAGCACATTGTTTCTCCTTTGGGGATCTTTTACCAGTTTCAGTGCTCCAGTTGTCATGGATTCAGACTTGCTGCCATGATGCCTACTTTACTCCTGGAAAGAAGACTGTCTGCCTTCATATTCTGTTGCCACTACACATATTTCTTCCTAGGATTTGTCCCCATTCTGATGCCCTGAAGTTTTAGACCACTGTTTTTGAATTTCTTACTAATAGTGGTAATCAATAAACATTTGTTAAGTGCCTACTGTGTGCCAGGCATAGGGCAGCTAGGTGGCAAAGTGGATAGAGTGCTGGGCCTGAAGTGAGGAAGACTCATCTTTCTGAGTTCAGATCTGGCCTTAGAAACACTAACTAGCTGTGTGACCCTGGGCAAGTCACTTCACCCTGTTTGCCTCAGTTTCCACATCTGTAAAATGACCTGGAGAAGGAAATGGCAAAGCACTCTAGTATCTTTGCCAAGAAACCCCAAAAGGGGGTCCGAAGAGTGCGGACACGACTGAAACAACTGAACAGCAGAAAGAGGCAAAAAACAGTCTGTGCCCTCAAGGATCTTATAATCTAATGGGGGAGGCAATATGCCAACAAATATGTATAAGGAAAGTATATACAGGACAAATAGATAATTAACAGGGAAGGCACTGGAATTAAGAGGGGTTGTGGAAGGCTTCGTGTAGAAGGTGGGATTTTAGCTGGGACTTAAAGGAACCATAGAGGTCAGTGGTCAGAGCCAAGGAGGCAGAATTCTCCAGGCAAGGGGGATGGTCAGAAAAAATGCCCAGAACCAAGAGATGGAGTGTCTTGTTTAAGAAATAGCCAGGAGGTCAGTGTCACTGAGTCAAGGGGCCCATGTTAGAGAGTGAGGTAAAAGAAGATGGGAAAGGAAGGAGGGGGCTGGGTTATGGAGGGCTTTGAATGCCAAAGAGCATTTTGTATTTGATTCTAGAGGCGCTAGGAAGCCACAGGAATTCTGAGCAGGGTGACATTAATTGGACCTGTACTTTAGGAAGACCACTTTAATGGCTGAATATAGGATGGATTGGAGTGGGGATAGATGGCAGTAGTCAAGGTGTGAGGTGGTAAGAGCTGCCCTAGAGCAGGGGCAGTGTCAGGAGAGAAGGGGCTGTATACAAGAGAGATAGTGCAAAAGTGAAATCAACACACCCTGGCAACAGTGTGGATGTAGATGGAGAGAAATGATGAGGAGTCCAAGATGACTTCCAGGTTGTGATCCTGAGGAACTGGGAGGATATTTTGCCCTCTACAGAAATAGGGAAGGTAGAATGGGGGAAGGGATTAGGAAAGATAGAATGGGGGAAAGATAATGAGTTGTTTTGGACATAATGACTTTAAGATGTCTACTGGTCTAAAGTGTCTGAAAAGACATTTGGAGAGGCAAGATTCGAAGTCAGCAGAGAGATTAGAGCAGGATGCGTAGATTTGAGAATTATCAGCATAGAGGTGGTAATTAAATCAGTGGGAGCTGATGGGATCACCAAGTGAAGTAGTATAGAGGGGGAGAACATGACCCAGGACAGAACCCATTGAGACACCTACAGTGAGAGGGCATGATCTGGATAAGAAACCAGCAAAAGAGACAGAGAAAGATCAAGAACCAGGAGAGACAGTCATGAAAACCTTGAGAGAAAAGAGTATCAAGGAGAGAATGATCAGTAGTGTCATAGCCTGCAGAGAGATCAAGGAAAATAAGGATTGAGAAAAGTCTATTATATTTTGCAATTAAGAGATCATTAGTAACTTTGGAGAGAGTAGTTTCAGTAGAATACGGTCAGAAGTTAAATTATAAAGGGTTAAGAAGAGAGTGAGAGGAGAGAAAGTGGAGGCACATATTGTGACTGGACAAAGGGTGGAAGAAATAGAGGTCGATAACAGGGATGGAAAGAGTCAAGTGAGTGTTTTTTCAGGATAGGAGAGACATGGGCCTGTTTGAGCCAGTAGACAGGGAGAGATTAAAAATAAATGACAGAGTAGTGATGACAGGGGACAATAATGGCTAACATTCATATAGCACTTTAAAGTTTGCGAAGTGCTTTACGTATATTACTTCATTTGATCTTCACAACCATCCTAGGAGGTGGGTGCTATTATTATCCCCAATTTCCAGATCAGGAAACTGAGGCTGAGGTTAAGGAACTTGAATTTATACAAAAACTTGACTGTGTGCCAAGCACTGGGGATGCAAATAGAAAAGGCAAAGGAACCTGTGTTCTCAAGTTGCTCATACTCTTACTTCAGGAAAATAGCACATAAAAGAAAGTTCAGCTGCTGGGTAGCTAGAAAGACCTGAAAGTCCTAAGAGTTCAATGACAAGGCCCAGAGGTCCTTAGGTTACAAAAACAGGTCCATGACATTGTCCAGGGACTACAGGCTATAGGGGCAAGGCAGATGGTAAGGCCTGGTCTTCAGTCTCATCAAAAGAGAAAGGGAATAAGTTTTTATTAAGTGCCTATTATATGCCAGGATGCCAGGCATTGTGTTAAGTGCTTTACAAATATCATCTCATTGAGTGGTGGTAGCCTGGAAAGGGAAGTTGGGAAAATGTTCCTGAGGGTGGAAGTAGGTTTTCCCATATGGGTTCTGTGACTAGCTTAAGGATGGGCACGGGGGTAGGGGTTGGTGGTGGGGTTTTTCTCCTACCTGACCTTCCCAGTTCATGTGTCTGAAGCAGCATTCAGACTTTCTGCCTCCAACTGTATTCTCTTTATCACCTTCTCAGATTCATACTAGGTGCTAAAACATGGATGACCAATGAGAGATTGCCAAATGTAGCATAGCTACATTTGTAGCCATAAACAAGGATTATTGGTCAGTTACTTGGGTTACATCCTATTGCTAAATTTTTTGAGAGTGGTCATGTACTCCTCTCCTGTCCCCATAATTTTTTTTAACTTTTTTGATCTTTAGTGGACACATTGGCCACTCTTTCCCCACCCTTTTTGAAGGAGGGACCTATTTTTTTATCCTATAGTGCATCATTTGGTGTACTGTACATGCTGTACATACATATGTATGTATATACTAAACATACAGGGCTCATTTGAAGCCACAGAAAGACAGTGTGGAAATCAGAGACACAGATTAAGTAATGGAAAAGAGACTGTAGTCAGGTTCATTTACATTACAAAGGGAACACAGTCTTGGTGTCAGAGGAAATCAGCTTTACCACCTGTGGAATAGAGGCGCAAAGTCTGTCTAGTGTGGAAATTCAATTAGATGAGTTACCTAAGGAAGCTAGAACTCTTCTGAGTTATGGGCTGCAAAGAAAAAAGGGCTTTATTGGCATCCCTTGTCTTAGCAGCAGCTTCCTCCAGCCCCTGAATTCTTTGCTGATGGTAAGGATACATCCATGTACAAACCTCTGTTGTTTTTGTCTGTCTTCAGGATTACCCCATCACAGATGTTCATCGCATCCTACAGAAAGCCAAGGAACTCCAGGACTCAAAGTAGGCTGGTAGCAGGGAGGCTCAGGACTCCAACTATGTAAGAAAAGACCTTGTGGTCAGAGCTGAATCTGTGTCAGCCCTTGGAGACTCCCAGATGCCCCTGCTTTGCCTGAAGCTGTTGGGGCAGTAGAGTTCAAGCTGATTGAACACCCTGCTCCAGGAGTCACTCATCCACATGACCCAATCAGCACCTCCGAAGCAGCTCCATTCTTTTATAATTGTATTTTATTTTCCTAGTTTGATTTTTCATTGTCTGCCTAATGTCTCCTATTCCCTTCTCAATCTCCTCCTATCCCACCGCACACTTCACACCTTATCATCAATTTCCTCCAAGCCATTTTAGGATTGGAGCCAGCCGGGCTCACTTTCTTTGGAAGGATTCTGTTGGGTGAGTGGTCTGCCTGGAAGTTGACAAGGGTCCCTTTATGTCTCTACCTCCCTATCTTTCCCTCAGTCCTGCTGCTGAGGATCACAACTACTGCTTTTCCTGCTTCTGGATCTGCCTCACCATATATCTTGGGGGTGGGGAAGTAAAGAGTTTTCTAAAGACCCTTCATTCTTCCGTCTAGCAGGGGCTTTGAAAGCTCCTTCCCTGAGAAAGTAACACTAGAAAGAACCAGGAGGCTGATCATGAGGAACTTCTTTTTGCTCTCAGTGTTTCTTCCCTTTCTCTTTCACTCTTCTATTTTGCCTTATTGCAGGGCTGTTTTCCTTAATTTTTGCTTTTAGGCAATTGGGGTTAAATGACTTGCCCGGGGTTAAGTGACTTGCCCAGGGTCACACAGCTAGTAAGTGTCAAGTGTTTGGTCTGAGGCTGGATTTGAACTCAGGTCCTCCTGACTTCAGGGCCGGTGCTCTATCCACTGCGCCACCTAGCTGCCCCTGTTTTCCCTAATTTTATCAAAGGAATTCATTGAATAGAATCCCCAGGTGGTGAATCACCTGGTAACACTAAGGCCCCATTTCCAGGGAGCCAAGGACAGTGGCAGTACTAGGGAGCTCAGACCTTGTCTGTATGACTGCACAGGTTCAGGACCTTGGATGTCTCTTGCATCCTTGAGTCCCTCACCTTCAAACCTCTGCCCACCACGTTTTGGCAGGCCCACGGTGTTTTCCATCACTGCCCAATTAAAGATCTCTGTCTTGGAGACCAAGAGTCACTAAGTTTTGCCCTGTGGATTTTTTTGAGAGTAATACCACCCAGAAAACCTTTGTTGTCTTTCCTCCCTTAGGTTTCTCTGTCTTTAGAACCCTAGAAGGGTACCACTTGCCTGGAAAGGGCTCAGAGGTGTGAGGCAGGGACCCAGGGATTGTGTAAAGCAATGCAACTTGTTTCTTCAGTTCAGATCCAAGGTTTTGACTGGAAATGAGAGTTCTTAATAGGAAAATGGCTTAGAATTATTAGCTTGTACTGATTTGGGGCAGGTATCAAATAATGAGGAAACTGGGTTGAGCAGGATGTTCCCACTGGGGTCAGTTGCTGCACAGGCACTTATTGTAATTTATAGTAAGGCTTTTCTCCAAAGGGATTTCCTGATGCTAATACTGAGGACTAAGGAGCCCAAATTCCTTAGTACAGGGAAGACCATTTGCTTAGGGAATAAGCTAGCACTCCATTGGCATAGACACCAAAGTAGGATAATCATAGAAGGGTTTGCTGGCCAGCTGGCTGTAGCCTGGCCCCTTTGGAAGCCACTTCTCCTCTTGATATAGCAGTGGGTGAATGTGTTCAAAAGCATGTTATTTCTCTTTGGCGTCTGTTTGTATAATATTAGAAGGTAGAAAGAATGAGGTATCAGAGGGAGAGTCCTAAGGTTTGTTGTTTTTTTTTTCCTTTCCCATACCACATGCCATCCAGCAAGACCCATTGTCTTGGGTCTGATTCTCCAGGCCTTCTCCCCATCATGTGCCTCCATAGGTGGCTTGAATTCTGTCATATTCCTGATAAGGAGACAATTTCTTTTACTGGTCCCAGTTGTTAGGCTAGGGTCCTCATTCCATTTTACCAGGGACATCTCCATACGCTTCTGTCTCCTGCTCTTGTCCTGTCAGTATTTAGGAGAGTTTACTAAAACTCCATTATTTATTACAGATGGGCAAGTATGGTGGTGGAAATGAATGTACAGCCCTTATGACTTGTCAAAGTTACCTGGAGATCCTACCACTAACCCTTCCCCCATTTTTTTTCTGCACCAGTCTAATTACAGTTTCTAACCATCTTTGCCACTTTTGTAGGCTTGGTTCTGAAAGAAGGGAGAGAAAAAATATATATAGATGATTTCCTTTCCTTTGGGCTCCCTGCCTCATGGTACTTGCCTAGTTAGTGTCCTGGGTGATTCCTTGTAACTCCACTTCTGGTTGGAGCTGTGGAGTCTGTGGTACTCTGGGGCAGTAAGGAGGCAGCTTGAGCAGAGGACTGCCTGTAGAAGATATTCTCCATCTCCCACCCCCAGCTTTAGGTTTTGTCTTTAGGCTTTAGGTTCTGTCTGCTATCCTAGAGAATTTTAAGGGATAGGGCATGCACTTGAAGTACCTGGGAGCAATTAGAAATTTCCTCCCATTTACTGGGTAGAAGAAAATCAAGGAAGCACTAGCTGTATTCTTTCACTTATTTTCCTCCTGAATGACCCTGTCTAAACTTTAAAGGAAGGAGGAAGGAAGCTGTGTCATATTTTCCAAGTCAGACCCTCTATGACTGTCCACCAGCTTTTCTCATGGAGGAGTAGAGTAGGTGATCCCTTCTCTGGCTGTTTTTTTTTTCCTCTTCCAAGGACCCTAGGCTGGAAAAATATTTTCTGTTTTACCTTAAAGTACCAGGATTGTACCTCAATATTTTATAGCCTGAGGGCTCTGGCTCAGGGGTCCAGCCAAGACTGCCCAGATAAGCTCAGACACATTCCCTTCTTGCCTTCTCCGGGCCTATACTGTGCTATATATATAGCTATATACTGTAACAAATATGGGACCTAATAACCCCAGAAGCCTACCACTACTCTCTGTACTGTCCTCATGCTTTCTTAACCATGCAAGGAAGGCTGGGGATATGGAGAGGGTGTTGTGTTAGCAGTGAGTCAAGCCATGAGAGGTTTAAATTGGGAAGTGTCCAGCAGGGGTGGGGAACCTGCAGCTTCGAGGCCACATGTGGCCTTCTAGGACCTTGGGTGCGGCCTTTTGACTGAGTCCAAGTTTTACAGAACAAATCCTTTTAAGGGGATTTGTTCTGTGAAGTTTGGATTCAGTCAGAAGGCCTCACTTGAGGACCTAGAGGGCCATATATGGCCTCAAGGCCACAGGTTCCCCACCCCTGCCCTAGACCATTGGTCTAGTTTGTTGCAGATCTGGCTTTGCTTTCCTTTGGTTAAGCTCCCAGATTCAAATGGTGGGACTCAGGAAAGTGGTCAGGTCTATAGACCTGGGTCCTAAGTGGTCTCCTAAAGGCTGGTTCCTGTAGCATTGGCTAGCTAGAGGTAAGCCTTTCTATTGGAGAACTTCCTCAAGAGCTGGACCTAAGACGCCAGCCCACACTCAGACTTTTTCCAGTTTTGTTGTGCGTGGTATCCAGTAGGCATTTCTTTGGATTGCTCAGAATGTTTTTTCTTTTAAATTTTTTGTTTCTTAATCAGTGCTGTCCATGACAATTTGTCTTAATAAATCATGTGTCTTTCCTTTGCAATGGACCCATTGAGTGTGATTGAGTTGCACTAAAACAGCTTTGTAATGGGAGAAGATCTTGTGATGAAGTCAAAGAACTATTTTTATGAAAAAGACTGGGAGTATCAAGATTCTATGAGATATCAGAGATGCCACAAACTTTGGGATCATCAAATACACCCTCTACCCCCCCACTTTTTTTTTTAACAGATGTGGAAACCAAGGCCCAAAGATGGGAAGCGAAACCCTTCAAAACCAGTATATTCTCTGATGCTAGTTCTGGCCTAACACAACTGTTGGCTGTCCCTTTTGGGAACCCATACTTAAAACAAAATGACTGTGAAAATCAGGCATGGCTAATAACTTTAGTTTTTAACCTGAGTGTCAGACATCATTCAGCAGAATTTGCAGAGATAAGAGTTCAGACTTCTTTAGTTGGAAGGCAACAGTTTCAAAATATATTACCTGTTTTTAGGATTCAGGCACTGGACTAGTGGGTCAGTAGGTTTTCTAATAGAAGAGCAGTGATAAGGGTACTACAATGCTAGTTACTCTGGGCTTGGCTCCATCCCTTTAGGGATGCTTTAGTAAACTGGTAAAATGCTGAGGCTTGTGAAGGCTAAGACTGAGAATGACTGGTATTCACAAACTTGTCAGTTTTTCCATCTGTACAATGAGATGCTACTGCGTTGTACAGTAGATCGACCCTCGTGAACCTGGGGACATCTCACGGTACCCCACTGCCATGTTTTGTAGCATCGTAGGGAAAGGAGGTGGCATGAGGCACAACCATTCCTAGAGGTGAGGAGCCAACCTGCCCTGCCAATGTGGAGGAGGAAATGGACAAAATCTGGGTGCTATGTCTTGGGGAGCCGGGCATGTCCCCAGAAATAGAAGTCAAAGAAATGTAACATGCAGGGATGGCCGTATAAATAAATACAGATTCTCTGATGACATCTCAAAGGTTACCTCCACTATCTTAGACCTCAGGTCCCACCTACACCATCCTGAGGAAAATAAGTGGATACTCCTCACCCCACCAGGATGGTCTGATGTTATATTAACTACGCACCGGATCTGATCGGATCTTGGTTACAGCCCAAAGTTAAGACTCTTTCTCCCCTACCCCCAACACCTGATATGCTATTCCCATTACTCAACCTCCCAAATAAAGTGGCTGAACAGCCTCACCGGATGGGCTCCTTTTGCGCCTGTTCCAAGGCAGTGTAAAATCTCACGTTTGTGTGTATCTTTTTGTTCGGTGGAGTTATTATAGCCAACTGGCAACTGCTTATTAAACTTATCTTATAGTCTTGCCTCTAGATTCACACACGTCCAGTCAAAAGGACCTAGTGGGAGGAACTACTCTTCTGGAGGATCTTCTGCTCGCCGAGATAGTCGCCTACGCTATCTAGCGCAAGGCTGTAACTATGCCCTAAGGCCGAAAATTAGAGTTACCAGTCAAATTCCCATAGGTAGCAGTTGACTAGACCCTAAACCAGATTCTTAAAAGGGCAACACCCAGCTTCAAGAGAAATCAGGGGCCACCCGTAAGCTCGAGGATTCTGGAACTTCCGGGTTGCTGAGCGGCTCCCCCTGGAAGCGCGGCAGGTGGGAGCCACTCGCTAAGCCCCTCGGGAGGTGAAGCCGTGGCTCCTTTAAGAGCGACGTCCCGGGCGCGGGTCAGAACGCTGAAGGTCGGAGCGCTCCCTGGGTTGGGGAGGCTCGAGGGCGCCTGGCGGGCAACATGCAGGCTGGCCGCTGGCTGGTCCCGGGGCTGTCCCTGGCCCTTGGGGCCGGGCTGGGGGCGGGGGCCGTGGCCTGGCTGAACAGGAAAGCTAGCCCGGGAGTGGGAGGGCTCTGGAGCCGGCTCCCCGTGTTGCCGGTGGCGGCGGCGGCGGGGCCCGTGGTGCCCGCGGGGGGCCCGGGCGAGCTTGCCAAATACGGGCTGCCGGGGCTGGCGCAGCTGAAGAGCCGCGAGTCCTACGTGCTGTGCTACGACCCGCGCAGCCGGAGCGCCATGTGGGTCATCGAGCAGCTGAAGCCCGAGCGGCTGCGGGGCCCCGGCGACCGCCAGACCTGCGGCTTCCAGGAGGACGACTCGGTGCACGTCTACCACCGGGCCACCAACGCCGACTACCGGGGCAGCGGCTTCGACCGCGGCCACTTGGCAGCCGCCGCCAACCACCGCTGGAGCCAGAAGGCCATGGACGACACCTTCTACCTGAGCAACGTGGCGCCGCAGGTCAGCGTCGAGAGCCCGGGGCCCCGCGCCTGCCCAGCTGGCCTTTTGTGCAACTGAGGAAACTGAGGCCGGGAGGAGAGGGGAGGGGGCTTGCCCAGGGGCACTAGTTAGCGGCCGCCAGGTCTGGAATCTAGGCTTCCTGAGTCTCGGCATACAGGCCGGTCTTTACCATGGACCCTTACAGTGGGCCCATTTTTTCTAAGGTTTGCCCCTTGATGAAACGAGAGGAGTCCAGTACCCCAGGGTAGATGAATTCGGGATTGATTTAGGATTGTAGCAGGTAGGGGTGGAAAGAGTCGAGTCGGAGCTACTCTAGAGTGGAGCAACTTTGGGCATCACTGTGGTTATGCTTGCAGGTGTGGGTTAGTTAAGAAGCATTTATTAAGCACCTACTACTAGGTGTGTGCCAGGCATTGTGCTAAATTCAAATGTGCAGGAATACAAAGAAGGGCAAAAAACAGTTCCTTGCTGTCTAGGGGTTCCGTCAGGGTGCAAGCAGCTGCTTACAAACAAGCTGTATGCAGGATAAATTGGAAATATTTCCAATTATAGTATGTCTCCAAGATGTAAATATTTGCAGGGGTGTTTTGCAGCTTTACTCCAAGACTTTGTCCTTGCTGGTTTACCATTTTCTCCCCATAGACCCGAGCCTTTCCTTCCCACAGCTAAATGCCAAGTAGTGCTTTGCCATGCCTGATCGAATCTAGTGCCTAAGACTAGAAGAGGGGATGTTCCTGGTGTTTGAGCTCAGGAGAGGAGGTGGTGAGATCTGAAGTCATAGATATTCCAACTTGGCTCCCTTTTTCTGTTCTTTCTCTTTTAGGCCCCCCACCTAAACCAGAACGCCTGGAACAATTTGGAAAAGTATTGCAGAAGCTTGACCCAAACTTACCACAATGTCTATGTCTGCACTGGTCCTCTCTTCCTACCCAGGTGAGCGACCTGGAGAAGGGAGGAGGGGGCTTCCTAGCTAGGGAAGCACAAGGGGGCTTTGTCTCAAGGAAGGGAGAGATCCTGACCCTTTGCATCTCCCGTTTCCACTAAACTCTCACGTCACCTTAGTACATCCAACCATCAAGTATTGGCCTGAGCTAGCCCACACCAGGGAGAGAGAGGGAGTTATAAATCCTGTCCCCTGCCCTCTCTAAATCTGCAGGTAGGTACACTGATATTTTTCTGATTAGTCCTGTAAGATGCCCAGATGTAGGAGCTGCTTGTAGAGAATGCCACATTTCTGCTGTGGGTGTGAACTTAAATCTTTTTCTCTGCTTCACCCACACATACACAGATGGTTGGTTACACCCTCAATCTCACCATTGCTCATAAATGTTCCAAATCCAGGATCAAGAATTCAGAAGCTGCTCTATTGAATCATCACCTATGGCCCTTCCCTGCTTCACTGTGTTTCTCTTTCTATCTCTGATCTTCATCTTCACTGTGACTTCTAGTCTCTCAGTGTTCAGCCAAATCCCACCCCTACTTCCACCTTCTTCTGCCCCCACTTTCTTTCTTTCCCAGTCTTGACCCTGGAGTCAGGAAAAGTCTTCTTTTGTGAGTTCGAATCCAGTCTCAGACACTTACTATCTCTGTGACCCTGGGCAAGTCATGTAACCCTGTTTGCCTCAGTTTCCTCATCTGTAAGATGAGTAGAAGAAGGAAATACTCCAGTATTTTTGTCCAGAAAACCCTAAATGGGGTCATGAAGAGTCTGAAATGACTGAAAAACAACAACAAAAGTTAACCAACTGAAACTGACACTGTCCTCTGCAGTCTCTTGTCCCATATGATGTTCATGCCTTGCCACATCCCAGCTTGGTGTTACCTCCTCCATTCTTACTCACTTGTTGCTGAACAGTACCTAAGGAAGTCACCGCTATTTTGAGTTCTCTATGAATCTGTTACTGAATCTCTATTGGGCCCTCAAGGCTTAAAGGCAGCCCTCTTACTGTTCCCTAATTGACATTTGCATTCCATACAGCAGTTGTTCCAAACCTTTTCATATCCCTCCCTGCCCAGTTTATTCGATCTCAGTTCTGTCTTCTTCTCTTCTTTATATATCAGAACCTTTGTCCTCACTGTCCTTGATTGAAGCCTGTGATGAATTGGTGCTTCTGGAAAAGACCAGCTCTGATACTTTCACCTTTGATTCAATTTCTTCCTGTCTCCTCCAGTAGCTTTTCCCTACATTCATGCTTTCTGTCTGTAATCTTCAATCTCTTCCTATTTATTGACTCCTTCTCTGCTGCCTACGAGTACGAGTGTCCCCCTCATCCTTCCTTGGCCCTGCCATCCTCTCCCAAGCTGTCAAAACGATTTATCTCTTCCCTTTCCCAGCCAAAGTCCTGGAAAAAGCTGTCTACACTTTTGACATTTCCTCTTACTTTTAACTCTTTGCAATCTGGCTAGTGACCTCACCTTTCATTTGAAAACCCTCTCACCAGATTACCAGTGATCTCTCTACATAGCCAAATCAAGAGCTTTTTCTCAGTCCTGCTTCTCCTTGAGTTCTCTGTGGCATTTGACACTGTTGATCACTGTCTCCTCTGGGTTTTTGTGACTCTTACATTTCCTGGTTTTTCTACCTGTCTGTCTGCTTCTCAATCTCCTTTGCTAGGTCATCGTCCATGTCCGGCCCCCAAACTGTGGGTGTAAGCCAAGTGTCTGTCTAAAGAAGCCAAGTACTTCTCCTTGTATATTCCTTAGCTCTGTGGAGGGTACCACCATCCTTCCAGTCACCCTGGTACAAAACCTCTAAGTCTTCTCAATTTTACCTCCACAAAATTTGAGGCAGCTAGGTGGCATAGTGGATAGAGTGCTGGACTTGGACTGAAAGACCTGAGTTAAAATCCTGCCTCAGAGGCCTACTAGCTGTATGACTCTGGGCAAATCCTTACCCTCTCTTAGCTCCAGTTTCCTCATCTGTCAAATGGAGCTAATAATAACACCTTCCCAGGGGTGGTTGTAAGGCTCAAATGAGATAGGACATGTATAATATTTGTAAACTTTTAAGGTACTATATAAATGCCAGCTATTATTACTTTCACATCAGACCCCCTTCTCTCTGCATACATGGCTACCACTTCAGTTCAGCGTGTCATTACCTCTCCCCTGGATTATTTCAGTATCCTCGTAATTAATCTCTTTGCCTGAAGTCTCTCTCTCCTCTACCGTTCATCCTCCCCACAGCTTCCAAGCCTGGGCATGACCTTGGCATGCCATCCTCCAGGTTGTCTTTAGGTTCATATTTAGCCTCCTCTGTTTGATATTCAAAACTCTTCATACCCTGGCTCCATCCTACCTTTCCAGTCTTATCACACGTTCCTCCCCTTCACTCTGTGGTCCAGCCAAACTGGCTTTCTTGCTGACTTTTCATTGCCCTTCCCCAGGCTTTTTGCACAGGCCTTATCTATCCTACATGCCTGGAATCCCTGGTTTCCTTCAAAGCTCGGATCAAGCACCATCTTCTTTGTGAGGTCTTTCTTGACTCCCCATCCAATTACTTTGTCTATATGACCACTTCGTGGATTGCCTGGAGTGTTCCCTGAAAAGGATGACCACCATTTTGCTACAATTCTGACTCTTTATGGGGGCTAGGGGGAACTTTTGGGGAGAATGCGTTCCTCTCACTCTCCTTAGCTCCTGAGCTCCAAGCAGTGTGCTTTCCTATCTATGTAAAATCAGTATTCACAACAAGGATATCCTTAACTCATTTAAACAAACATTTATTATCTTTTTCTCTCACTGCTCCCCTTCCCCTCCCCAACACTGAACCCCCCCCCAAAAAAAAGAAAAGAAAAGAAAAAAAACCCCTTATAACAGATTTCATAGTCTAGCTAAATAAATTCCCACATTGGCCATGTCCAAAAACACGAGTATATCTCTCACTCTGCATTTTCAGTCCATCACCTCTATATCAAGAAGCGGGTGGTATGTTTCATCTTAAGTGCTGTGGAGCTGCGGTTTATCATTGCATTGATCAGAATAGTAAAGTCATTCAATTTGTTTTTCTTCATAACATTGTTTTCATTGTATAAATTTGTTCTCTATAGCTCAGTCTACATCAGTTTATAGATCTTACCAATTTCCTCTGAAACTGTCCATTTCATTATTATTATATGGTGATATTCTATTACATTCATAATCTACAACTTGTTTAGCCATTCTCCAATAAGTGGACATGCCTTTAGTTTTCCAGTTTGGGTTGCTCTGAAGAAATTGGCTATAAATATTTTTGAACATATGAATCCTTTATCTCTTTCGTTGATCTCTTTGAGAGGATATAGGCTTAGTAGTGGTGTAGTTTAGTTTAGCACAGTTTAATAATTTTTGGGGCATAGCTACAAATTGCTTTTCAGAATAGCTACACTAATTCCTGACTTCATCAATAGTGTATATTAGTGTGCATGTATTCCTGTAGCCCCTCCAACAGTTTTCATTTTCCTTTATTATCATCTTTGCAATCTCATGGTTTTGAGGGGAAGCCTCAAAGGTGCTTTAATTTGCTTTTCTCTAGTAGTGATTTTGAGCATTTTTCACAAGATTGTTGATACTTTGGATTTCTTCCTCTGAAAATTGTTTATATTATTTGACCATTTCTCTCTCTCTCTCTCTCTCTCTCTCTCTCTCTCTCTTTCTCTTTTTTGGCTAGGCAGTGGGGTTAAGTGACCTGCCTAAGGTCACACAGCTAGTAAGTGTTGAGTGTCTAAGGCTGGATTTGAATTCAGGTCCTCCTGACTCTAGGGCTGGTGCTGTGTCAACTTCACCACCTAGCTGCCCTTGACCATTTCTGTTTAGGGGAAGGGCTCTTAGTCTTATAAATTTGAACCAGTTCCTTATGTATCTTGGATGTGAGACCTTTATCAGAGGAAACTTGCTGTAAAGACTTTTTTTTCCAAGTTACTTATTACCCTTCAAATTTTAGTTGATTTAGTTATGTTTGTGCAAAAATTTTTCAATTTTATATGATCAAAATTGTCTATTTTATCTCCTATGATCCAATCTGGCCCTTGTTTGGTCGTGAACGCTTCCCTTATCTATAGATTTGAGAGTTAATTTCTTCTTTGCTCCTCTAATTTGCTCATGGTATGTCCTTTTATATTTAAGTCATATGAGTTTGGAGTTCATCTTGGCATATGTACGATATAACATGTTAGCCCATATTTTGGCCACACCACTTTCTACTTTTCGTAGCAGTATTTGTCTAATAGTGAGATCTTCTCCTGGCTAACTGGGATCTTTGTATTTAGTGAACACTTCACTTCTTGGTTCATTTATTTCTGTATGTTGTTTACCTAATCTGTTTCACTGAATGCCTCCTCCCCCTCTTTTGTTTTTTTATAACCAGCACCAAATGATTTTACTGATTACTGCTTTGAGATTTGATGCTGAGCTCCCGCTCCCCCTTTTTTTTCCATTATTATCCTTGAAGTTCTTGATAAGTTTGTTCTTTTATTTGAATTTTAGAAATTTTTCTAGCTAAGGTAATCTTTTGGTAATTTAATTGCCATGGTACCGAATAAATTAATTTAGGTTAATATTGTCATTATATATATATAGGTTTGTCTTACCTGTGAGCGATAACTGTTTCTCTAATTATTTAGGTTTCTCTTTATTTCTGCAGATGTTTTATAGTTGGATTCTTGGGAGTATCTGGTAGATCGACTTCAGATATTTGTATACCTTTTCTAGGTTTTTTGAATGCAGTTCTCTTTCTAGCTCTTCTTGCTGGGTGCTTTTGGTACTGTATAGGAATGGTGCTGATTTACAATGGATTTATTTTCATATTTTTCAACTTGGCTAAATTTATTGTATTTATTAATGTCGTTTGACTTTAGGGTTTGCTGAGTATATCATCATGTCATCTGCAGAAAGTGATAGTTTTGTTTTCCTCTTTGCCTATGTTTACTGCCTTGATTTCTTTCTTGACTTCTTGT